ATAATGGACGGTATAACCTAAGCTAAAATTATCTAATTCAGTTAACGTTGCAGATTGCGTTGTTCCTTAATCTTCGAATTCGATCTGGCTTATTATTTTTTGCAGACTGTTAGAGCAATTTTATAAAAGTAAGCTTGAACTTTCGATTATGGCAAATAGAATTTCCGATGTATATTTACTAATATGTAAAGGATCTACAACGCGAAAGTATGTTTCGAAGTCCATTAAACAGAAAGTGGAATTGCTTCAAAAAATGGATAAAGGCATATCCTTTGATTATCTGGTCATTCCAAAATATGTTTATCAATTTCATGCTGCTCTGCGGGGGAAGGGAAACGACGCGGCGCTCAATGAATTGGAAGTTGATCTGTCAGCACTATCCTTATCTTCAGGGCAGATGTTTTTATTTTATTTCGCTTATAATTCCTTACTAAATGTAATATTTCATCTCGATGTACTCCGTCTTTGATATGATTTAAATCAAGTACCTCGTCATTATAATTCGCTTCTGATAGTGAAGAAAGTGACACAGAGGTTATTGAAAACGAAAAAATTTCGATTGACAAATTGGTCGGTATTCTCGACACAGCAATTATAGGACTTGAACAGCAAAACTTTGTAACTAAACAAGAAATTATGTCTGTTCCTTCACCCCTTCCCTAGGGGTGAAGGCTGTTCCAACATGCCCAGCTAAAGCATAGCAGGTGAAGCGTCACTCTGGCTACACCTGCACCTCTCCTTCTTCACACATTTCCTTGTTCCAACCATGTTCGCCATAGCCGATGCACCGTGCTCGCATCCATGTGGGTATCAGCTGTGATTTGACGTAAGGACCAACCCACCCTTCTCAGTCCGATCACCATACCCTTCGTAAAATCGTCTGTCTGCTGGAAGTGTCTTCGTTGACAGCGGAATACGTGTAATTCTCTCCTATTACACATATCCTCTGAGACAAATCCAACTTTCTTCGATAAATCGTCTGTCAGAAATAATGACACGAATATTGCCCATTCTGCACATTCCTTCCCTTATATCTTACTTCACGTGCGTCGGAGAGCTGCACATTTCGCATCATTCGCATAACTCGGTGACGTGCTTCTACCCTAAAATTTGCGTAAATTTCTGACCACTCCTTCTTGATGTTGCATTTGCAATGTCGAGCAGTGTGTTTTAATATCATGACGCCATCTGGCATTAGACTGCGGAAATTGCTAACACTAGTTACAGTGGGATGTTTTAGGCATTGAAGATTAAGAACAAGTTTCTTTTCCAGGTATTTTAAGAATCCTCTTTTTTTACCAGTAGTGAGAATCTGTAGATTTAAATTATACAGCTTACTAACAAAGTTTGCTTTTGTGTGTAACCCAGAGCTTAGGTAGTTAGGAGCAAAATGGAGGGGGGGGGGGAAGAAATAGTTGAAGATAACTATATTAGTGCATGCCTTCATGGTTCCCTGACAAAAGCGCACTGAATGAAATTGTACACAACAAAAGCCTGCGCAAAAAAAAAAAAAAAAAAAAAAAAAAAAAAAAACCCTCACTGTGATGATTGACCATACATGTACCTACATTGACAAAAGCCCTTGCAGATAAAATCACTTATTAATATAAGCCTACATAATCAAAAGGACACATGGATTTTATCACTGTGAAATGTAATTATCGTAAATGGATTGGATTATTCAGGTCTGAATTTTAATGCCTCAAAAATATGTCTGTATGTTTTTTCTATTTTATTTGTTTATTTCATTAGGTAGCAACAAAATTTTCTGATTAAATTATTACCTAATATATTTTGATAAATCTGAAACTGTATTTTATTATTTAATTTTGGAATGTGTATGTGGAAATTAAAAATATCATTGAGAAGTTTCTCACATGCTGTTTTTAACGTTATATGGCTGATACTAAATATAATTATGTTTCATTTTTAAAAACTGAATTTTCCCTTTAACCCAGTAGAGGGTGCATCAAGTAAAGTTACTAGAGTGGGTGCATGGGGTATCATATATCCCACTATTTAAAATACGGTAAAAACAGTTTTATTTAGTTTTAAAGCTGTTTTTCTTTTATGAACTGAGTTTTAAAGCTGTTTTATGACTATAACAACAAAATAAACATCATACTTCTAAATTTTATTGCATCTCTAATACACAATGCTGCTTATTTTATTTGTTTTTATTTGTTTACACTTTGAACAAAATACTTGCGTTATTAGCATAGAAAGTTTTCACATTTTAAATATCACATTCGCATTCTTCTGTCCTTCGCTCAAGGGCAGTCATCACATCTTTTATACTTAGTTGCTTCGAATTTCATACATTTGTTTAAATTATTTCTCGAAACCTCTGCTTTCCTTTTGTATGCAGTGGGCAAGTTTCTCGGTAAAGTATTAATCTCTGATTGTTATTCAATGCATTTTTTTCATTAATTGTAATGCTAAGTCTCTCAAAAACAGACATCTGCTTCTGGATTGGCAGTTGAAAGTAATATAATTTGAGTATTTATTGAAGCAACATTCAGTACAGAAAAGAAAATTACCATTTGCCACCTCTTTGTTATTCTGGCAATTGAATGACTTGCTGCCATTTTATCTGCAGTATCCACTGCTTATTTGGTCATATTATAAAAACAAAATGCAATCTCCATCACTTTCAAATATTTCTCATAAATCTTGCAGCCATTTCATTTCCAATTCTTTGCCATAATACACTTAGAAATCTTTAAAAATTTAATTTCAAATACTTAAAATTGTTTGCGAGTAGAAATATTTACTGTTACACTCTAGAAATAAGTTTCTCAAATATTCAGTCAAAAAAACATGCGGACAGGGGCGTGAGGGGTGTAATATCCCAGTTGCAATAAAATACAAATAAATCTTTTTCTGAAACACACATGCAACGGAAAAACTGTTCTGGAAGTCAACCGTAACTAGAAACTCAGCTACTGAATGTAACACAGAATTTCAGTTTCACAAGTTAGGAATATTTCACTTTATTGTAGAGTTGGGGTACAAAGCACCACACACGCTTTCCTGTGGGTTAAAGGGGCCCACTAGCGGCCGAGCGGTAAAGACGCTGAACACTGGTAGTTCGGTCCAAGGTTCGAATCCCGCGAACGAGCTGGCTGCATGGGCGTTTTCCCCCATGTGTAACGTGTATACGAGCCAGTTTCCCTTAGAAAGTCCTCCACGAAAGGCATCCCCTCCCCTTAGGCAGATAGCCCTAGTGTGCTTTGCCATAATTAAATACACCAAATATCTCCTGTGGGTTAAAATGGTTAAATAGTTTCAAATTATCTTCAGAAATATTTCATTTTCCGGTTATTGAAATTTTTTTAAATATTCATTATTTCTATCTAAATTTTTAGATAAAATAAATTCAAGAAATGGGCTACAGAAAATGCAAGAAAGGTTTTTTTTAACTTCATTTATAAGCAGTATCTCAGATATTGTTATTTTCTAGTAAATAACAAAAAATGGTTTAAAATTCTCTTTATTTCTCATAAAGCTGTAATGGCTCTCCCCCTCCTTTATGATGCTGTTCTTTGGCACCCTAGGTTCGAAAGAGCATAAAGTAATTAAGCAAGGCTGTCCTCTCTTTAACTGTTTTATCACTGAGCTGGGGGGAATAGGAATGGTTCTCTGCCTGAATAGCCAGCAGTCAATTAGAAAATTCATGACTTTATCTGATATTATTAATAAGTCGAAGAAATGCAATTCATGGTAAGCAAACTCCTTATCATTACAGACCAAAGGAGTGACGCATGTCATTGATAAATTTTTATTCATCAGACTGTGAAAATAAGAATAGTATTGGAATCATTTTGTAGTCAAAATTATATACTTTAAAGTTTTGTATAATTTTCATTAATCCAATAATAGATTGATTATAAATTATTTTTGTTCTCGGACATTAAATTATTTCCAAAGTAAATTCTCCATGTTGTTTTCTTATCTTAGTCCATCTCTACATATGAATTAATCATTCATTTTTATATTTGTGTATTTTAATAAGATATACAGTAAGACCCTGCTTAACGCTGTTTCGGTTTAACACTCTTTTATTTGAATTGTGGGATTCCCCGAAATTGCATGCAGCGTTAGGCCAAAGAATGTCTATGTAAAGAAGGAAAGGTTTCATAGACATAATGTAAACCAGTTTGCTATTACGTCACTACAAAGCGGAGGGAAAATTCGCCAAGGGATTTGCCGACGGAACCTGACAGCAAGAATTGTTATGGATGCCTTATCCACTTACCAACAACAGCTTACAGAGCGCAAAAGAAAAGCGCTAATTACATTAGATACCTTCTTGATAAAAAGGCAGAAAATTGGAAATACAGAAGAGACTGAATGATGTGAAAAGTAAAAATACTGACTTAGAATTTTATTTATTTTTATATGTATATTCCTTTATTATGTTTCTATATTTGTAAGAAATAAATTTTTCTTTTATTGTTATAAAAATATAATTAATAAATTTAATGGTAAAATACCTGACCAATTTTCTACCCATCTTCCCCCTAACCCCATTTTTTACATGATGAGATAACCTCGTTTAACTTTGTTTCATATTACACTCTACTTTGACAGAATAGATATACTGCGTTAAGCGGGGTCTTACGGTATGTATTTTGAGGAAAGTAAACCATAATATTTATAATCTTGTTTTATTATGCATGATTACTGTAAATTAGAACTAAAAATGAATGAAAAGCATTTAAAAGCAAGTTTTAATTAGTGCTTATTATAAATTTGTTTAATTAAAATTTTCATTTCTTTTATTATGTGGGACAAAGGTAATGGGTTTGATCTTTTGAAGAGTTCAGTTTTACTTGCGAGATCTCATAACAGTAAATTAAAAATTTCAGTTTCTTGAAGTTCAGTGTAGTAGGACTGCTTTTGTTCTGTAAATCTATTATAAATTTCTTAATTATGAATTAAATTTTATACGTAATAGAATTATAGTTATGATAAATATATTTGGTTAATTTCTTTAGGAAGGATATGCTGACGTGCTTGATGAATTAAAAGTGCTTCATGTAAGTGATGAAACCTTGAAAGTTATAACAACACCGAAAGTTGTTGACGTACGACCTTATATAGTTTGCTGTAAAGTTCTGAATGTCAATTTAAGTGATGGCAGCCTCCTGAAAAAATTTATTACATTACAAGTAACTATACCTTTTTTTTTAAAATGTATACTCATGTCCATAAATTAAGGATAATGCAAAATCAGGCAAAGAAAGAGTTAGAAGCAAAACAAATTTGACTTATTTGTAAAGCTTATTTATTAAACAAAAGGTAAAGAGCAAAAAAAGATGCTATATGTTTGATATTATTAAAAAAATTAGCGATTTTTTTTTTTTTCTCCCTGGAGCAAATTACAAAAAAAAAAAAAAAAAAAAAAAAAAAAACTTATTTACAAAAAACCAATATTACATGGTTGGTATGATTGTTAATACATTGTATATCTCCCAGACGACACAATACAGTCCGTACAACGCCTAGGCATGCTGAGTATCAAATTATCCATCTGATCTTGGGGGATAATACACCATTCAAAAAGCAATGCACTCCGAAGTTCCGTCATCCATAAACACAAATTGTGCGCCCCGAAACAAACGTACGTGTTGTTCCAGAATGACGTCCCGATAGATTTGACTTGTCATGGTTCCAATTTGAAATTGCAGGTCAGTTCTGGAACCCAAAATAATTCCACCCTAAACGAGCACTCCTGCACCACCGTAACAGTGTCGTTTCATGTTTTCTTGGTGGTAACGGGTACCTGTAGCTCTCCATATGAAAGTCCGGCAAGATTCAGACTGCAAGCTAAACCTGGACTCGTTGGAAAACATCACACAAGCCCACTGTTGCGGTGTCCACAATGCATGCTCTCTACTCCAGGCTAACCGCAGGCGACAGTGAGTTGCAGTAAGTGGAACGCATCTGACAGGTCGACGAGCATATAGACCAATTTGTACTAAGCGTCTGTACACGGTCTGCCTCGAAATTGTCGTACCAGTGGCTGAAGAGAGCTGACCAGACAGGTCTGAGGCTGTGCTCCGCCTGTTTCTTTTGGCAGTAACTGCCAAATACCGGTCTTGATTCGGCGTTGTAACTCTGTGGCGACCTGTGCTGTAACGTCTACTCACATTACCATCATCTTGGAATCGTTGCCAAAGCCTGGAGATGACACTCTGGGCAATTCCAAGTTCGTCTGATACTTCCAGTTGGGTATGCCCACATTCCAGACGGCCGATAATTCTACCACGTAAAAAATCATCCAAATGCGTCCTATGTGTCATAACTATTCGGTTATTGCACTGAAATGCTTTTAAAGTGCCTGCGAACAATTTTACTTCCTTGCCTGTATTCCTTATATGTCGCTCTCTTACATTCTCGTCATTGTGACGTACCATCGGTGTCATCTGTTACTTCCTGAAATTTGCATATGATTCTTGAAGATGTGTGTAGTGATTTTACAGGTGATATATTTGTTTTAGAGTTCGACTTCCGCGTGACTCCGAATTATCCTTAATTTATGGACATGAGTGTATTTGTGTATTAAAAAAAGTAATTACTTTCTATTCTTCATTTATTAATGTTGTTTTTTTTAGACGAAACTTCATGACAGTATTTGTGAAAAAAGAACAGCAGGCACAATTGCTACGCATGATATTGGAAAAATACAAGGCGATTTAATTTATGATGCCAAGCCACCTCAAGAAATAAAGGTAATCTTTTTGTATTTATTGCAAGTAGTAGTATATGGTGTTACAATTTACAAAATTTTGAGCATAGTAGGGATCTCTTGCTATCCCTCTTTGATTGGATGTAAAAGATTTCTATATATCTTTTACATCCGATCAAAGAGTTGAACATCTTTTGGATTTCCCAATTTAGAATTTCTTATATTATTCTGATCGATATTCTTTTTAACAAATTAGATATAATATCATATATGGCCAACTAATTATATTTTATTAATCCCTTATTTGCACATGTAGTATAACTTACTGCACTGCAGTATATAAATATTATTAGTGAGTAAAAAAATATTTGGTAAATTTATGCTGTCATTTATGTTTAGATAACTCCTTTGAACCGAAAGAAGGAGCTAACTGCAGCTGAACTATACACACAGTTAAATGATGAAGCTGATGCCATACGTAAAGAAAAAAAGAAAAACACTTATTCTGGAATACATAAGTACGTTTTCGTAATTATTTTTGAATATAGAGTTAATGAATGTATACTAAAATATTTTTATAATTATTATAAAATTCTGATTATAGAATTATTTTTTATGAAATATATATAAATATAATGAACCCCTTGCAAGACTCTTATGGCTACAGATGATCATCTGTAGAGGAGGTTAACTTAAAGAAGATCACTATCAGTGATGATGCTTTTTTTATAACAATTTGTAAGTTAGATTAACTCTGTATTTGAGGTTTTGATTTTATTAAAGAAAAATAGTGGAGTTAAAAATCTTAGATACTGTGCCTCTTTAAACACAAAGCATTTCAGCTAGCTCGATTATGGGACCTCCCACTATATGAGTCCTAGCAATTTGTCAATGTTCGAATTCATTTAGCTCAAACATGATGCACTCACAACTGCACAGAACACTGTCTCGATAACAAATGACACTTGCAACGTATTGAGTATGTTTTACAAGAGGCGCTAGTGAGCGAACAACACATCAGTGCTGCCAACAGCTTTTGCAAGAATAAACATTTCAGTTCAAGCATGCATTTTATGAGGTGTTTCCATATTTTTGTCCAACTCCTATACATGAGAACTGATTTTCCTCATAAAATATTTTTCATAAAAGCTTTCAGTTTATTAATTTTACTTATGATTAATTTTACTATTAAATTTTTACTTAATGATGCAATTTAGACTTTGAAGTAACTTATTCTACTTCTCTCCTCAAGTACAGTATGTCTCTAAAGTTTTAAGACTGAAATCATAAAAGTATGAGGAAAATAACTTTTCACCATTAAGCCTTGTAATGTCTCTCAGCACATTCATATATTGAGTCATCTAGAAAGTTATGTAGTTTTTTTTTTTCAAATCGAAGCATTTTTTGAGTATTTTGTTACTGCTAATAAGAAGTGACTTTAATCTCAGACGATGTTTAAATGTCTCCTCCCCTGCTTGTGTCGTGTTTCTAGCATATGTTGTGACATAATTAATCCTTCATTGTCATGCTAAGAATTGCTAGCTCAAAAGTTAATTTTCATTATATTATGTGCCTGCATTTTAATAAAGGAAAAAAATGCTAGTCAGCTTATAAAACTTGTGCTATGTGTGGATAAATTGCTGTTTATGATCATACAGTTCAAAGATAAATGAGAAGTTCAAGCACAAAAATGTCAGCCTTGAAGATTATACTCTCATTGGATGACCATTCTTTGTAAACAAGGACCTGTTAAAAGAAACTGTTGCTGAAAATCCACAATGTACATTTCAGGATCTATCAGGCAGACTAAATATTCTAAAGTACAGTATATGATCATTTGAAGAAGATTAGTTATGTAAGCTGTTACTATGTATGGAATACCCCATACTTTAACAATGCAAAATATGTTTGCTCAAGTTTTGCCATATTCTATGCTGAAAAAATGACAAAGAAGTTCCTTTTGAAGTAGCTCATTGCTGGAAAAGAGAAGTGAATCTTATACAATATTAAAAGAAAGAAGATGGTGGAATAAGCCAAAAGGACCTGTATTAGTAACGTCGAGGGCGCTCCATCCCCCCAAAATTAATGCTTTGTTGTATGGTGGAATTGTGTACTAAGAAGTTGCTGTCACCAAATCAGACAGTTAAGAAAAAACTGTACCCAAATGGCATAAAATGAAGCGAAGTACTCAGAACTGATCAATAGTTGAGGCATTGCTTTCTATCTTAATAGTGCTCAACCTTACATTTGGATGAATGTTAGATAAAGATTTATAAGTATGATTGGGATTTTATATCATCCCTGTATTCCCTAGACTTTGCCCTCCCACGGATTTTCATCACTTCATATTTCTTCGAATGTCCTGGAGTTTACTTCTTCGGAGACATATCAAACAGCACTTTACTTCAGTATGAATTAACCTCATGATCTAATAACTAAAAGGAAATTTTCCAGCTGAGGAAGAGATGACAAAAGGTTATAGAATAAAATAGTGCTTATATGATTGATTGAAATTTTCTGATGTTTTTGTGCTGCTTTATTTGTATTTATCATTAAAAAACACAGAACTTTCTGGATGATGCAGTATAACTTATGAGTTGTTTCATGGTATCCTGCTTGGTCCTGTCGTTAAAACTTTAATTAAAAAAAATTTTTAACATTGTTGCTGTTTGGGACGAAATTTCACTTTTATGGAACAGAAAGCAGTCTGCAGGGATTTGATAATACTTGTTTACAGTAAGCTGCTATCAGCTGCATTATGTAAAGAAAGTTTTCTTGCGTATCTCTTTTTAATTGATAAATTCACAATGGTAGGTATACACAGTATAAAACTAAACAACTATACTAATAATACATTCAGATTTCTTTCTTCTGAAAATAGATATTTAATGGAAGCAAGTGGATATGTTTGTAACCATTGGTGAAAAACTATTTGCAGTTTTATTGCCAAGTAGTTGAAAATTTTATTCTTGAATCTTTGTTGACACTGTGTTATGTTCAGAATAATAGGTTTTTTACTCAGTGTACACATTAAATGAAATTGGATGTATGTGTGAATATTAAGTATATTTTAGTAAAATTCAAAAGTTTCAAAAGTAATATTAAGTACATAACTTTGAAATTTTTCCTTAATATATTTTTGGTTTTCCAGATATTTGTACCTACTGAAGGATAAGCAGTTGTATCCCTGTTTAACAGATTCATCGGGCACAGTGATATCATTCCCTCCTATTACAAACAGTGATGCAACTAAGGTAAATCTTTCTCTTCTTAATTCATTCATTATATGGATGTATATTGTTTTCATTTAATGTATAGAATCTTGTGGTGGCAAAATAAAATCCATAGACAAGATCATATTTTGGAGCTGACAGACAAGAAAAATGGAATCTAGAAGCAATCTTTGACAAGTGTTGCCAATGCGTGAAATATGGCTTTATCTTCCATACGCCCTTATAGTTAGTTCTTAGTGCTGCTGTTTGACAAAACATAAGATCTTTCAAATTATCTGTTATTAACAAATCCATTGTTTTAAAAATAAATGCACTTTTAATAGTTTAAGTCTTGTATACATTGAGTTTATAAAAAGTACATTCAGAAAGTAAATACAGTTTCAAAATTCTGTTACAGCAGGCTGCAATGATAGATACACATTTCAAATTCAGTGACATGTTAGCAGAGCAGAGGTGTCAGTTGGAAAAAGTTGGTGGTGTGCGATGATAAACATGCCAGAAAATCAATTCAGTTGCAATAAGTGAAATGTGGTCTGTCCTAATTTTAATTTGCTAAACATATCAACAGCTGAGTTAGCAGTTAGATTTGTGAGATGTACGGTGAACAGATTATGAAGGCTTCAGCGATATGGAGATCAGAGTGATAGTTTAATTAAGGCCGGGCAATATACATGACATGAAACACAGTAGGCGACATCTGTATTAATTGATGATCCAAGGTCTGGTCCTTGGAAGTAAAGATTAAAGCAAACTGTCAATTTAACTTATTGGAACTTGCAGTTCAGTTTCCAGATAATTCCCATTTGCTACTGCTTTTTGTCGTAACAGGCTGCAGTTCTGCAAACTGTGCACCTGCTGGGTATCGTACATATTTGCTACAAATGACAATTCAAATATCAAAACATTGCTTTGGAGTTATTTACAAAATGACAGTTCATGGAGTGAAGATGCAAGTCATTATGGACATAAAAGAGAACTTGGAAACTCCTACGCATTATGTTATGAGACAGATATTTTGTTATATAATAGTATTATTGTCCACACCTTTTTCAAAATGCTGCGAATATTGGGTTACACAGGCCAATATAAGAGATATAGGATATTGTGCCATGATGCTGTTTTCATCTGATTATGGTTATCTGCATACTACACGCACAGTAAAGAATTTTCCTTGTGGAAAATGTTTCCCTTCATATAGCTTGGACCGTTGATTTTTCATCTATTTTTATGGATAAGGATTATGATAAAATTGATCACTTTGTCCCAACTTGGTTGTTATCACAAGATTACGATTGGTACTCAAATAATGATGAAAATTTTGTCAAATTTCAATGCAGGGTCTGTGCATCATGTAGTAATAATTTTTTTTTAAAAGAATGTTTGGTTCTTCACCATTTAAGAAACTCTGATTTTGCATTTCATCAATGTAAAACACTGTTACTACATTTTTATTTACCGATCAGTTCCATATCTCTGTCATTAAGTAATGAAGAATCTATATGTATGTTCTTCACGTGGAAAAACAGCAGCTAGAGTAACCAAATCTTGATTAGTCATTCATCTGAGCACGTGCACCTCAAAACTCAATTTTGGTTTTTATATCATATTATGTGTAAATTTAAAGATATTTTGATTGACAAACTCAGAGATTAATAAAAAACAAGTTTCACTCAGGAAAACACAAAGTATTTGTTTCAAATTTAATCAAAGAACTCGAGCCTTTAAGAAATATATTGTCATTTGACAAAGTATACAATATATATTCATCCCTCCCTGAAATTTTAATCGGAAAACTGCAGTTTAATAGAAATGTGTTGCCACTGCTAAAAATAAGATATCTTTGTCATCCATGTACGAATGTATTGGTATTCGGCAAAGTGCAAGATGTTTTACTTTTCATTTAAATTTTAATGTTGCTTAATGATTTACTACAAACTAAGCAATTTAAAAGCAGTAAATGCAGTACTTCTCACCTATTATTAATTGCTAGCTGAACTTATTTATAGTAGGTCTCCTTAAAATGCATTTTCTTTTCATAGTTATTCTAAATAGATTTCACAATCTTTTTTTTTGGGGGGGGGGGATTCCATTCAGAGATGTTTGTGTTGTAAAATTCGTATCAAGTATGTAATCTTGAGTTATAAGAATTCATTATTAAATTAATTTATATTTAAAGCTGCAGTTGGTTTAATGACAATGTTAAATATTCCAACTGCATTCTACGACCGATATATATATACGTATATATATTTTTTTTTCTGAAAAATGTGCTTCCTTCTTAGTATTGCTTGAAGCATTTTGGATATTTATATATAACTATGCAAACCAGTTTTTATATTTTAATTAATGAGTCCGTGTAAGCAGTAATAATTTCATCAATATTCTGATAAGAGATGTAATTTTAACTGTACATTTTAGAAAAATCGCTATATTCTGTATTAAACGATATTTCTTTATAGCTTTCTGTACATAAACAAAATCTTTATTTGTAGATATCAAGTGATACAAAGTCTATGCTTCTAGAAGTAACAGGCAACAATTTAAATACCTGCAAAAAAGTTATGGACCGCTTGTTAGAAGAAATATTAAAACTTGGCATTGGTAATTCGCTGAAAGATGTTGAAGGAGATATGGATGAAAGACAGCAGAATATTCTATCAGTTCAGCAGATTAAAATTGTGGATGAAGAAGGGCAGTTGAAAGTTGTATATCCATCAAGGACTGATATTCAAATAGAGAATATTTCAGTCACACGTACTTGAATGCCATTAAAGTATTGTATGCAGATAAAACTGTTAATGCTATATGATTAAATAAATAAAATATGCATTTTTAGTTACTGTATTAATTTGTTACATTCACAATATTGAAATTCAAAATTTGATAAAAATATTTTATTTACAGATTATTTACAAACAAATTTTACGTTCAATACAATGTTCTGTCTAAGGTCAGAGTATAACAAAGGTCAACAAATGCTTTCTGGATTGCATAACACAAGTCATTATCTGAATCAAGTTTATTAACAATATTTTCTAGTTTTCCATAGTCCACTGATTGTTTGACTTCTTCTGTAGGTAGTAACAAATCTAAAACATTAGAAATTTTATTAATTATATGTAATCAATTTTATATAATTTTAGTTTAAAAAATAAAATTAAAAAAAGATTTATGCAATATTGTTTCATTGATGTCCAAGTTAATTTTTATCCCATGTTAATGAAATATTTTATTTATACATTGCATAATGTTGATCCCTTTTTCCCTAAAGCATTTTTTTCAGAATTTCTTTAGCATTTGGAAGCTATACACTAGAGACAAGGGGAAGGCAAAGTCATGTGGGACACTGGATAGGGCTTTAAACCTTTGCATTCAGAGTACTCCTCACAGGCACTGTCAAAGTTTGCTGTTGTACTGGAAGTGTGCCTAAGAGGCAATATTCTGCACTGAAGATGAATGATTGTAATTTTAGCAGGGTTGCTACTCAAAGGGGAGAATGAAATTCCCAGACTTTTCCAGGTGTGTTTTAAGAAAATTCCAGTCTATCCGCGTAATGCACATTAGCTGTTCTAAGAGGTAAATTACTTATGTTACCACTTAAAAACACAAAAATTCACCAATTACACATGATTTTATATATATATAATCCACCCTATTATAACTATAATAGGAATTATTTTTCCCCACAGAAGATGCCCAATCTGGATTTTAAAAAATATTTTTTTTTCTGACATTTTGCAACTAAAAGAAGAAAGAAATCTATTTAAAAGTATTATTTATAATAATAAATAAACTTGGAGGGAAGAAGCAACATTAAATGATATCGGTAACATAAAAAAAAAACTTTAAAATTGAATTAGAATAATCAACGATATTTTAGCGAATATAGTTATATTAAATGGTTAGGCTGGATGACTAATTAAAATTTTTTATTTTACTGCAAAATGACAAAGCATTTATTAAAAAGAAAAAAAAGGGGTTTAAAAGATTTTGCAGTAAAATCCTAGTAGTATACGGTTCGACGCCCTTGGAACGATTTTGAAAATTGTCATCAACATCAGAATTACCCATATACTTTACTGCTCATCATAATGTCGCCAAATCCTGTGTGTACTGCCGATGGAGGTTAGAATAGAATACATGGACTTCCATGGTACCATATACTAGGATTAAACTGATTTTGTTTTAAACGAAAATACATATTTTCTTTAGTTAAACATAAGCAACAAATATGTGCATTAAATTTCGCATGCGAGTCTCTCGATGTTACTGGAAACCCAAGTTGCTTTGCCTTTCTAAAAGACAATCTTAATTGGAGCTGCGAAAATTGGCTCTATGCCAACTGCCCGAGTGACGTTCACGCGATACATGATTCACCAAGAAAGTAATCGCTTCCAACGTCGGCGCAAGACTTGCTTTTTGGGGAGGGGTTGCCGTATGAAATTCCCTGAATTTTTTGGTCAATTTTTGAATTTCCTGACCTTTTTCCGGTTTTCCAGGTAGCGTGGCAACCCTGTTTTAATTACACATGATTCAATGTTTCATTTATTTCAGTATTTAGTCATTTATTTGGTCAATAAAATATTCACCATGGTGAAAAATGCCATGGAAGAAGCATTGTTTCAAGAAAACAGTGATGATGAATTTAGTGTGGATGAATATGAAAGTGATTCTAATGACAGCGACATTATTCCAACAGTGAAGGGAAAAATTATTGCAATATAATAGTTCTAGTGAAAGTGATGAAAATGTCAGAAAATTTAGTGTTATAATTTTAATTAAAATTTTCATTTGTTTGCATTATAATAAAATAACATTAAAAATATCAGAATAATATATATTTTAAATGTTAAATAAGGTTTAAATTTTATATGCAAATTTAACCTTCAAATAAATCCCACATTATCTAGCCAGATACCGCAAAAAAAAGTCAGAGCTGTGGAAAGCTTTAGGCGAGAAGTCTGAGTGTAAAAGGTTAAATCTAGAGCTCTGGAAAAGAAGACTGCTAGGAAAAACAAAATAAAGACTTAAGAAATCATTGATTAGAAATCATTGATTAGATATCATTGATAGATGGAAGACCTTATTTTTGTGTTGTTGTAAACATGGCACAGAAATGAAGGATTGTTGCTTGCTTTTGAGCATTTAGGGCTTTGCTTAAGGTTCAAAAGCAAAGTGTACCTTGCAGCACAAAGAGCAAATAAACCATCAACTGATACATCAAGAATTACTTTAGAAACAATTTAAATCTATGCAGACTTGCCAACTCTCCCAATTTAGGCGGGAGACTCCCGATTTTAGACCGCTCTCCCGCCAACCCGATTTACAATATATTTCTCCCGACTTTTTCTTATTCTTAAAATTTCTCACGATTTTTATGGAACTTGGCTTAATACTTTGTTATATGAACAAAAAAAGTTATTTTGGACGTCCGAAGCAAATGAATTTTCTCTAGATTATATCTAAAACAAAACCTTGCGAATTAGATAACTTCTGCTTTGGGAGTGAGAGCATATACGTATCCAGAAACGTCCTTCTCCAGTTCTCCAATGGGCATCGTGCTCAACTGCACGTCATCTGGCATATATTAGCCAATGAGGACAAAACAAGCTGTTATTTGGATGTTCTTTAGTTATTTCGGTCATTTTGTCCTGAGTTGTGTGCCTTTGGGAAATTGTTTTAGAAATTATCATCTTTTGTTATGTCTGTGAGAAAGGTGAAATACTTGTTTACGTTTCAAAAATCGTACACAGTTGACTTTCCTTCCATTATTTCCTCAAGGAAATGTAATAAATTTGCAATGTGTACCGCCTTTCATTGCGATTTTTCGATTTCGCATGGTGGAAGGGCGGATGGTCTCAAACATGTGCGTACACAAAAACACAAGGGCAACATGAGCTGTTTTGGAAAAAAAGAAAAAAGAAAAATTAAATTTTTCTTCAGAAACAAAAAACCAAGAAGTTATTAATGCAGAATGTCTGTTCTCTGCCTTTTTACTGGAGCACAACCTGCCACTGAATGCATCGGATCATGCTGCAGCTTTATTTAGAAAAATGTTTCCTGATAGTGAAATCGCTAAGAAATACTTAAGTGCAAGAACCAAAAGAGGTGCAATTGTTAAAGAAATGGATTTGAAAAATAAATCTTCAGTTATTGATCGCATTAAAACAGCTCCATTCTGCCTCTCTACGGATGGAAGCAATAATACCGATTCAAAACTGTATCCAATTGTTGTTTCTTTTTTTAATCCAGAGTCTTCAGAAATTGAGTGCAGTTTACTTTCTGTCCCCACTTTGGAAGGACATTTGACAGGCTTTAATATAGCACAGCTAATTATTAAAACTTTAAAAGAAAATGCAGTCCCTCTGGATAATTGCTTAGCACTAGGTGCCGATAATGCACCAGTATTGGTAGGCTTGAAGACTGGTGTTGCAGGCATCTTCAGAAAGAAAAATTCAGATTTGCAGATTATGAGGTGCACCTGTCACCTCTTAAATTTAGCAGCTGAAAAAGTAGTAGCTTCTTTACCAATAAATGTGGATGAACACATTGTTGATATTTATTATAATCTTGAAAGGAGTTCTAAAAAGGAGGACAAATTGAAACAGGTCCAACAGCTGCATAATAGCAGTTTACAATTAGAAAACTTGGATGAGTTACAAAATCAGCTAGGATTGACACCCAGTGGAGTTTAATTGGAAAACTGAAAGATGCTGATGGAATTTTAAAATATAGAGAACTGTCTAGAATTATATTGGCCATCTTGACAGTTCCCCATAGTAATGCAGAGTGTGAGAGGATTTTCAGTGTTGTTGCGAAAACGAGGACTAAATTTAGATCTAATATTAGTGATGACACATTAGAAAACTTTTATTAGTGAAAGCAGGCCTATGTGACAATTGCTATGAACAAAATTATGAAGTTTCTTTCTTAAAGCAAAATCCGCCACTGTTTATACCATTTGTACAAAAACTGATTAAAGGTTTTTTTTTCTTGTTTTGTTTTGTTTTCTTAGACGATACAAGTAATAAAAATGTTTTTTATGTGTAAGGTATTTTTGTGTTGCTTGCATAAGAATTAGTTACTATTTAAAGTTAATTCATTATTAAAAACTATATTTTCCTTATTTAAAAAGTCTTTTTAACATTGTGAAAAATCTCCCGATTTCTTAAAAAAATCTCTTGATTTTTGAGTGTCATAGGTCGGCAAGTATGTCTATGTTGAAATAGCATTTAAGATTGCAACTGAAAAAGGTATAATTATCCCCATTTTTCTGCTTAAAAGCTTAATATTATGAAAATGGAAATTGAAAAATTTATCAAATATATTTTAAATTACAAGGGGAATAACAATAAATTTGTATAAATATATAATTTTTAAACTGAAACTGTAATTATAGGTCTTTTTTTTTTTTTTTTTTTTTGGTATTAAATATATATAATATATATAAAGTGTAACTGTTTTTGAATTTGAAATAAATTCTGCAATTGCTATTTCTTAGTGACTAATTGCTTTAATTTTATGTTATTCTAACATTCTATTATGATATGGGGATTGCATATTTACATTACATATCACAATTTAGACTTTTTAACAACTCACCTAATCACCTGTTTTGTTTTTGAAGTTTGTAGGTAGTAAGTACTGTATAGATTATTTCTGGTGTTTCAAAATTAAAAAATCTGGATTTGCATTACTTGAAAACCAAGGAACTCTATCTTTTCTCCCTATACCTCAAATGTGTTAACTTTCAAAGGAATGGAAAATTTAATATCTGATGATACTATTTTCATGAATTGTGGCAATGACTTTTAAGGAAAGAACCGCCAACTATTCATGCTCAAAATATCAATTTGATATCCGATTATTAAACCATAACTGATTACAAAAAGGTGATTACAGCACAGTAAAATCAAAAGGAAAAGGAATCTGCATTTTAGAACATTGTAAATAGCTCTGTTGTTATTGTGACTTCATGAAAATAAGTTTTTGAGGAAATGATAACTATGCAAATTGTCTTGTGTACCATAGTTTTTTGAATATTGCCATGTGGTGTTGGATTTCTTAAAGGTATGTATTAATTCAATTTCTATATTACCAGTTTCGGCAAGTTCTTAGTTTTCTTGGTTAAATCTTCTCGATAAAAATTCAGCCACAGTTTCCTCATGTGTCATTACATTTTAATGTTACGGGTGAGTCAACCTTGCCCAGCCCGGGGATCAAACCTCAGGCCTCAGTGAATAATATAATACTGCAATTTGTTTTGAACATCATGGTAATTATGGAAACTTGGCAAATGAATCAATGGTTCACTTAATAATTCAGAGAAAAAGCACAATTCATTAATAAAACAGCATAAAACACAATGCAAAGTTTTAATTGGCAAATAAATTAGTATGGCTTACAGAGAGCTCTCATACATTTATCTAATTAAATCAAGCAACTAAGTAATCAATTTCTGGTTAATAGTGATTTCCCAATGTTATATTAAGAAAAATAAAGTATTAAATATAATCTTAAAATTGATTAAGGCTGATAATGTACCTTTGTAGTTTCGGAGCATTCTTCACTGTTTTTAGATAGGAGAAAAAGTTGACATATTGTTAGATTTCAGTGTTTCAAAGTAAATGTTGTTTATTGTCAGGATACCTTTCTATAAAAGATACATCATTATATGTATGGTCAAATATATTTACATACTTTCACGCTAAGTAGATCATAGCCATAAGGCAATCACAGGCTGAAATTACACAAGGTCAGAAACAACACTTTGAAATTAACAATATACAATGGGCAGATAATGAAAGTTGACTGATTGTGTGTCATGACGTGATGACCACGCATGCGCAGTTTTAGCCCAACGGCCTGCAGCGCCTCTTTCTCTCACATGACTCACTAGAGGAGAGTTGCGAAGTAAGGAAGGTATATGCTGTATGCCAGCGTGAATGAAAATATGTAGTTATACTTTTGTGTTAATTGTTTGTTCTTATTTTTGTTTATGGGTTAATAAAGTTTTTGTGCCGTTAAGATGGCTGGTTTATGTAATGCCCACATTTTAGTGCACATGAAGGAAATGAAGGAAACCTATATCCAGAACCCACCCAAAAAGCAGATTATGACAGTGGTGTCAGAAAAGGAGGATATGTCATTCTTCAATGTTCACGAGTAAACGCGTAAGTGAATCTTCAGAAAGGTAAGAGGTATTTTGTTCAATTTATTTTGTGGTAAAGTGAAATTCAAGGTTACAAAAATGGCTGAAGAGCTAACGAAATCTAAGAAAGAAAGGAAAGTTATTCATTCAGCCATTACTAAAGTTCTATTGAATCATTAATTGCAGCCGGTAACTTTGAAAACCTCGAAGAGTCACTGGAAATTTTAAAAGCTATTTCTTTGAGAGCATTAGATGAAAAAATTAAAACATTGATGTTAATGACATTGAAACCGAAATCAAAAGTGCCTTGGAATACAAAGAAAAGATTGTGAAATGGAGTTTTAGAGGCACAAAATTATTGAAAGAAAAAAGAAATAGCAATAATTTGTTAGTTTCTAACGATTTATAATGATAGTAACAATTTATCTATTTCTGGTGTCAATAAAAGTTGTGATTATAATGTTAAATAGCCAAAGATTATGATTGATAAATTTTATGGAAACGCTGAAGTGTGGCAAACATTTTACAATTCTTTTGACACGGAATAAATCAAAACGAAAAACTTATCTAAAGTGGGTAAGTTTAATTACTTGCTTAGCCTGTTAGGCGGTGCAGCATTAAAAACCATAGAAGGTTTTTCTTTATCGCCAGAAAACTACGACGAAGCTCTTAAAATTCTTAAAGACAGATATGGTCGAAAAGATCTCCCTATTAATTCTTACATTCATAAACTTTTAAATTTATGACCTGTCCAAAGTTCTAATGACATTAATTCTTTGAGGGAATTATATGATACCTGCAACGTACAAGTAAGGTCACTAAATTCGATAGGGGTCAAAACCAAATCGTATGGAAATTTATTATACCCTTTGTTATTGAAATGTATACCTCAGGATATAACGCATGATTTTGCTCGTCAAAACGCAGATGAAGAAAATTTTAATGTCGACGACCTCGTGAAATTTCTAAAACGGGAAATTGAAAGTCGCGAACGAACTTCATTAAATTTATTTTATTCTAAGAGTTACTCTAATTCTTCACTCTCAACCCAATGAAAAGCGAAACAACTTCCATACTCTGAATCCAGTCAACGCCAACAAGTTTGGCACCAGCTATTCCCCTAAATGTTACTCTCCAAATTTTAGTTTGCCTTTCATCATTTACGCAGACGCGATCTGCATACGCTGTAGGAGCTTGTTTGGCTCAGCAAGATGAAAATAGTGTAGAACACCTGATAGCCTTCGCTAGTAAAAAGTTGACCGAGACGCAAAGAAATTATGCTGTTATTGAAAAGGAGGCATTTGCCATTATCTTTGCCCTGAAAAAGTTTGAGTATCATTATTATGGCAATATCTTTAGTTCTGAGATAGTCATCGTTAGTGATCATAACCCTCTCAGATTTCTCACCGAATGTTCCTCACAAAGTTCTCGTTTACAACACTGGTCTTTAGCATTACAACGATTTCATGCAGTGATTACATACCGGAAAAGATCATATTAATGCAGATTCGTTATCTCAATTGACCGCCTCTCACTGGAAGAATGACTGACACTATAAGACATTTTGACTCTTTAGTTTGAACATTTTTTTTTTAGAACTAAAATGCTAAACTTTTGATTTTTCCTAATGTTACGTAATATGTTTAAAGATTTAGCCAGGGTTTGCTAAAGTATTATGTTTAATTTTAAATAATTGATTTGTACTGTCTTGTTTTTATGATTATGTGAAAGATTTAAGTTCGAAAATTTCAAGAATGTAATTTTGTTTTGTTTCAAAAAAATGTTTATATGTGGATTTGACAGGTCATTGCAACACGCAATCAAATCTTTTAAAGGGAAGATGTCATCACGTGATGACCACGCATGTGCAGTTTTAGCCCAATGGCCTGCAGCGCCTCTCTCTCTCATATGACTCACTAGAGAAGAGTAGCGAAGTAACAAAGGTAACATGCTGTATGCTAGTGTGAATGAAAATACATAGTTATATTTTTGTGTTAATCGTTTGTTCTTATTTTTGTTTGTGGGTTAATAAAGTTTCTGTGCCATTAAGATGGCTGGTTTACGTAATGCCCACATATAGTGCACATGAAGGAAACCTATATTCAGAACCCGTCCAAGAAGCAGATTATGACATTGTGAATGGGTTGATAGGATATCATTATTATGGCAATGCAATTCACAAAGTTTCTGACATATTACACATGCTCCATTCCATTGAGAAGGATGTCTTTATACATGTACATTTGTACCCCTACACAACCAATGTAATGGAGAAAGATTAGAAGTGTTGAAGAGAACTAACTATTAAACATTAGTACATGTAATTGGTAGAAAGTATCTTCACCAGATACAAGTTGCCTCCGGATGTAATACCAGAATGACAAACATTTATTGGATGTTACAATGGCAGCACCAAATATCGACATCTATTGTCAAGTGTTGTTACCAATGGTGTGAAGTTTGTTAGGAAGGGAAACTGAAGTAATGGTGGCATGTCACATGGAGCTATGAAATATTATAACATGATTTGACAATCTGATATGGTTTTTTATGGATGCAAAGAAAGCTCAATGAATGATACCGACCTGAATGCATATTGCCTCAAGTGAAGCTTAACGAGTTGGCATACAAATAAAATTCAAAGTTGATGTGCTTAAAATTATTTACAAGAAACTAATAATTTCGTGATGTCTGTTCTGTGTCAAAGTCAAAATCTGTTTCAACATCAATAATAAATGATGCATCCCAAATGTCACTATATATTAAAGAATTAATTGTTTGGGATTATTTCTCCGTTATCGTTATGCTTCAGCTAAGCACCCTGGTTCTTGTGCATGCAATGATGAACATGTCCTAATTATATATTATTTGTGTTTGGAGAACAGTTTAGTAAGAGTTATTTCTTTTTCAACATGATGAAGCATGTCATACAGAGCTAGTTTGCTTACGTCAACACTGAGGAATTGGTGAACTGCTCATCTCAAATGTAATGAGCATCTGCAGGAGACACTAGAATGCCAGATTCAGGAGAGGCCACAGCAATTCATATCAATGGCAAAATTCTCCACTGAACTATTACACAAATGGTAAACTATTTTACCTGAACACTCCAAAAATTGTAGCCAATCTAATAGATTGGTAATTATGACTATGGCGAACAGTGGACTTGCACACTTTTAATATCTATCATATGAATCGGAGAACTTCAAAGAGCAGAATTGTCACAGTTTTTGTATTGAATTAGCTATTTTTAAATAGAATTAATAAAATTATTTTATTTAATAAGATCTGCATGTACATGTCAATTGTAGATTTACCATTTAGAAGATGCTAATCACTGCAAACAAGGCAGGAAATGATTTCAAATGCAATGACCATAAATTGTTGGGAAGAGATTTGTATGCATACAGTATATGCATGCTGTCCACTGTAGTGAACAAACTGTAGCAATTATTTAAAACGAAATTTGAATATTTTTTTAAAAATTTTTATTATTAATACTAAGGTTATTTTAAGTAGAAAAAATACAAACATTTTCGTTTAACTTCTCTAGATTATTTGTATGCAACAAAGGGTTAAAAGTTTTGAGTTACATAAATTGGCAATTTATTTTATTTATATAAAATTATTACATAAGAAAACCTTTTGCTTAAACTTTTATATGCAAAAGTATCATAATGAAAATATGCACAATACCTGCTGTTGTTGGTGGTACACTTGAAGTGGCACAGATACAAGACAAACATACCCTTCCTAACTGGCACAGTAAAAATGCTACATCTTCGCATAAAGGTGGAAATGCTTCACACATACGTATCAAGGCTGGTAGTGCAGGTAAAAATAATTTGCTACGCTGAATACTTGGCAGTACTATAGAGAAACATTTTATAAATAACAACAAAAGGATGCCTTTAATAAAGAGAAATAAGATTTGTATGATACTAACTTACTGGAATTGAACAATGGCTTTATAAAGCTAATTATTACTATCAATTACAATACCAAAAATTCAGACAGAAAGAAAAGGGGCACAGAAACTTACCATTGGAAAATTACAATGGCAAGAAAAATTAAAGGGAAAACTATAAAAGTTTATGTAATTTGAATAGTTTTGCAATGAAGGTTTGAATCCTGGAGAAGCATGATTGTTTGTAAATGTATAGTATCTATGTGGCAAAGGAGGCACTTAAAATGCTGGGGAGCCAAATGTTCTCTTAAGTGATTTGGTGGTTGGAGAAGAGGGTAGGAGATCTCCAGATCCAATCTCAGGGCTACTCTCCATCAAAGGTATGACAGAGCTGTATACTGTGGTGGAATTATATCTATAAAAGCAATAAAGTTTTGGCATCCTGTGCACTTCTTCCTATGCTGCACAAAATACTTATTTAAAATATATGTCAGGCATAATTGCCTATTTCTGAGGGGGGGGAGTAATTTAAATAATAACATAGGAAATATAATATAAAGTATGACAGGGAAAATTGGTGTTACAATGTTTTAGAGACACATTAAGAAAATTAATAAGGTATATGATCAGCTCTGACTGAAATGCAAGTTTTACAGCAATTTCCCATTTCTGTATTAGATTATACAGGAATTTCTGTGGTAACAAAGTTAATGATACAGCATCTTGAAGCTCCAAAGATGCTTCTCTGAAGAATGTAAAGTAGGGGTTGCGGTGATACAAGTTGGCAACCTAGTGCTCCCACATATTTTTCTATTGGATGTAAATCTGGGAAATCTGTAGCCACTCCATCTGCTGGATTTCTTCTCAAATAATTGGTCACTAGTGCAGCACAATGAGAATAAGAGAATTATTTTCCATTAGGAGGAAATTATTACCAGCTGCATACCAAAACAAATTGACGTAAGGGTCAAGAATCTCGTCTCTGTATATATCAGCATTCACTGGTAAAAATGTGTAGATCACTGCAGCCATTCAGAATAATGTTCACCCATACCATGATTCCACTACATTTGTACCATACCTTTCACATATTTTCAGGCTTTCTGTGTATGTTTTACTCCCTTCAGATTGTAGCATGTCTGGAATCACTCTCCAAACAAAAAATGAGACTCATAGTAAAGAGAATTCAGTATCACCATGGGTCAGCGGCTGTCTTGCTTATATTCTACTGAGTGCATATTGTTTCTCATCCATCTAATGCCTTCTGACATGCTCTGCTTTTCATAAAAGAAAATTTCATCGAAATACTCATACAGTCCTTGAAAATAAAATCTGAAGCACTCCTTGCCACACATGCTGAAAGAACAAATGCAAAAATTTGCATATTTCTACATAATGAAGATGAATCTCTCTGGAATATGTGATAATGTTGACTTTGAGCAACCAGTCACTCACCTTTCAATGGACTTAATATAAAGCCCTTTTTTATATAGTTTTTTTTTTAATTTTTTCCCATCAGTGTATTAAGTGCTTCATAACAAATACAAAGGTACATAAGTAGCAGAAAAAAACATACAAGGAACTATGTCATGCAGATAAATCTGATCCTTTTTTCCCCCTTCTTAAAAATTTATACCACTCTCTATATTTTTGTTTTTAATTTTTAACTTTAATATTGATGAAGTACCATTAGTATTTATTGTCATTAAACTGTACATTTTTCTTTACATATTGACAGATAAATAGGTACAGGCTGGTCATAAAAAATCTTCTGTGATATATGAACGCCTAGCGCCCTATCTGCTCAACCGATGGAAATGAAATTTCAGATATTGTTATTTGAAGGTATGTACTCGGGACTCTAATGATTTAAACAATGAGGCTCTCACAGTTACAGTAACAAATGTTTGAAATATTCGAATGGCAACACCCACATTTTTCCTGTGCAAATTGATCAATATGTTGAAGAACCATAAATGGTGATGGGATGATTACCCATATGACAAAAACTGATGGTATAAAACATTTATAAATAAAAGCATTGTAGAGGACTAATGACAGCACAAGAGAGAGAAAAAAACTTTTATTGAAATTAAAAATGTTCAATGTGCTCACCACACAAGTGATAACGACTTGCATCTGAAAAATTGCTGCCAACAATGACAAACGTAATATTGCAGGAAGAACGTGTTTAACTTATGTCATCTTTCAATTCTGACAAATCTCAGGAATTTAATGTGTACATCACTAATTTCAGATAACCTTAAAACCAAAAATTGGTTGGAACGAGGTCAAGGGATCACAGTGGACATGAAACTGCAAACATGGGAGATGACTAACTCTTTTGAGTGCTGTTGCAGCACTTGCGAAACACATAGCAGCATGTGAAGGAGCATCATCTTGCATCCATACAGTATCATTAATGACATTTTGCTAATGCAGTTTTGCAATATTATTGCATAGAATACTTGCGATGGAGCACATTTTCATACCTGTGAAAGTTACCTCTTCGAAGAAGTATGGACAGAGAATGAATATGCTTACAATGCCATATCACACAGTCACTTTAGCTTCTTGAAAAGGTGCCATAGCGTGAGGATTTTCATCAGCCCAGTAAATACAATTCTTGGAATTTACATTCCCAGTTAAGAAGAAATGTGCTACATCCATCCATAATACCTGCAGTAGCCACGTGCCATCTTCATCATATCTGATGAGAAAAAAATTCACAAAGTCTCCTTGTTTTTGCTTGTCTCCAGGTTGCAACATTTGGATGCATTGGAATTGTAAAGGAAACATCCACAGAACAGAAGCTTGAAGATTGTGGCTTTCAGTACATCCAAACTGTGGAGAACACTTCTGGCAGTATGCAATGGACCTGCAGTAATTGTATTATATTAATAATATAATGTATAATTCTGCAACAACTTCAACAGGTCCAGATCGCAGTCTATCACATATGCATTCAGTATCTTCACTTTTTTTTTTTTTTTATTTTATTTTTTTTTTTTTTATGGAAAATGGGCATCATCTTAACATCATAGCTTTACCAATAAATTCACATTTCTTTGGCAGTATTTTCCCAGTTCAGATAAAACAGCTTTATCAATTCACATCATAGTTTCTTTGTGTCATCTTGTTAGCACATTCAAACACCTGACTGAAGAAACAGTCTTCTCACACTGCTTATTAAAGGTTTTCCCATAAGCAATGCTTTGCACATGGTGTTCTGTGAATGGTGCTTCTACTGTCTATCCCTGTGTAACATGCAAAGTGTGTCAATGCAGCTCCTTCCACTCTGTGTTGTTATAGGTCCATTACAATGCTCTTCTTTGCAAATGTTTTATGTCGGCAATTTTTGCCATTTGGAGGTCACTCTGAAATTTTTTAGATATGCACAAATGATATGTGGCAGAAAAAAATTAATGGTTAGATTTGAAAATATGAACTATTTTAGCTTAGCATTTAATTTTTTACTGGTAAATTGCAAGTAGGTACGCATACAATAAATTTTAGGCAGAAGGAAAATGAAGCTGATGCAAGAACATTATCTTGTTATGATTTTAAACTCTGATTACATCACGAAGAATGTGTTTACAGTTGAATCTACTATTAGCATTTGGAAATGAAGATCCATCTCATGCTACTATATTCAGATTATTTACAGAATTTCACAAACTCTCTTTAGAATGAAGAACACACAAGAAAGCAACTGTCAGCAGTTCCAAGATTATCTGCCATAAAATTTTTTTTTTAATTGATGATAACTGCTGCACCTACCAAATGATACAGAAGGAACTGAACTTGGAATCCACCATCAAACATAAAATTATTCATGAAGAATTGCATATAAAAAAAGGGGAAAAAAACAGTTTGCCATTGGGTTCCCCATAATTAAACTGAGCATCAAAATGAGAAGCATGTCAGAATCAGTAAAGAAACCCTTAAATTACTTAAAGATGGTGGCCACCTCATTATTTTTAAATCATAACTAGTGATGAAATGTACATACCATTTTTTTATGTTCCAACACGTCAAGAATACAAAGTATGGGTCTTTGAAGATGATCCCATGTCCACAATGATGAAAAGACAATGTGGTATGAAAAAAATAATGTATGCTGTTTTTAACAGAAGTACAGGACTTATCAAAGTCATCAAGCTGGAAGGACAGAAGGTGGTCATAATTAACTGGTACAGCATTAAATGTCTTTCAGAAATTCTTCAAGAAGTGAAGGTTAGAGGACTCATGCTTCACCATGACCACACATCTTCTCATTCAGCAAGACTGACAATTGAGTTTCTTGAACAAAAACACATCAAAGTGATAGAACATCCATTCTATTCACCCAATCTAGCTATGTGTGACTTTTGGCTATTTTTTAATCTAAAAAAGAACTTACATGAACTTCCATCTTCGGAATGAAAGAACTTATGTTACTTTCAGATTACGAAGATGAGATTGATAAGGCTATAAGTGCATTTTTTTCATGAAATGAATGGCTTGAGGCATTTTTGGAAAATTCATCTACAGAGAGTGCACTGACGCTGGAGGAGACTACTTTGAACACTCCTAAAATTTTGCAAGTATAATTTTTAAAAATCTATGCATATCTCAAAATTTTCAGAGTGACCCATGTACATGCATTGTTTCAGCGCCATTTATGGTTTTCCAATGCGCCAATCAATTTGCACAGGGAGGGATAGGTGTTGCTTTTTGAAAATTTTGAAACTTTTTCACTGTAACCATAACAGCTGTATTGTTTTAAATCATTACACTCTCAAACACATATCTTTAAACACCAATATGTGAAATTTCATTTCAACTGGTTGAAGAGATAGGCCACTAGGGGTTAATATATTGGGAAACTATTTTTATGATCGCCCTGTATAAAAGTAGTACAGTCCCAAAGAATTCATTTCACAACTCCCTGCATTATTTATATATCATGCATTTTCATAATACTTTTTACAAAAATATTTTTATTAAATTAAAAATTACATAGGACAAATTATAACTCTGTTGAAAATTTCAAAAATTTATGCAATAACAAATGCAACAACAACAACTACAAAAATTTCTTATCAATACATAAAGCATCTCTCTAAATTCTTTGTATGTACAATGCAGGTGCTCAATTGTTTAATCTCACTGAACTTGTTGATCACAAGGATACATATGGATTGTTTTGCTTGTATATATCTTTAGTATTTCTTATAATATCTGCATTGCATTATCACAACTTCATATTTTGGAATTACTAAGATGCAGTTGTTTGTATTGCTGAATGCCATGCTTGCATTATACTACCATCTCATGCCTAAATTTTTAATTATATGATAAAACCTATAGCTCAAACTTTTGGAAAGATTCTTTACACTTTACTATGTATTTCTGCTGTATTTATTAGTCACTGTGCTATACTTTTATATTAACTTTTTATATTAATGACCAGTTATCCAACTATTTTAATTTACAAGAATAAAGCATACATAAAAACATATCTGATTACTAAAAGCTTAAAATATTATTCACATACCTCCAAGAAGAGTATTGCAAACATTAATGCATAGTTTTGCAATGCTTAATGATTTTGCAATAGCATATTGGGAACAAAGATGTGAAGCTAATTCTATAGCGAAGACCTAAAAATAAAACAAACATTATATATGCAGTTTATTTCTCAATGTAAGATTAGTAAATTCATAAAAAATCTCATATTTTTATCTTATAACAAACTTTTTAGAAGAAAACAATTATCGTTCTTTTATTACAATACATGATCATGGACATGTACACAACAAATCATGATTTCTAATTTTATATCAACGTTTATGCTTCCTTGAGAACATAATTAAAAATCTTAATAATTCTTTTTAAGTAAGAGTTATTTGATGTGTTATATATTGATGTGAAAACTGAATAAAAGTGGAAAAAGTAACAAAAAATCATAAATTACTTTTGATACTTATATAGAATTCTACAGAATTGTACTTATATAGAATTATACATATTATATGGATATGTATTTATGTTCAGCTGAAACAAGTACTTCAAGTTCAATACTGTCATCATATTTACCTGTTTATCTAAATCTGCTTGACTTAAAAGCTCTGGTAAAAAATCTAAACAAATATGTAGAGAAGGTACAGATGAAACCACTACAGGCAGGAGTTCACTAGGATAAGTCTGAAAGAAATTAATATTATACAAAAATGAGCTATAATTTTGTTATTGATGTAAAATTTCAGTAAGAGGATTACAGAAAGGGAAAAAAAAAAAAAAAAAAAAAAGAAAAACAGGTTTATGAAGACACTGGAATATAAGATGAAGTATTAGAGCTAAAAACTAACCTGAAAATGCACTAATTTGGCCAGACTAGGTTCAGATATAAAAACTTGGTGGAGATGGGAGCATATCAAACTCTGTATTTCTCTCAGATTTGTTAACAACCCTTGTGCTTTCTGGAGGAGAAAAATAGGGATAAAATAATGAAATTTTTAAAAAAATCTTACAATACTGTTAAATCAGAGCTAGATAAGAAATTACTTTATCTTCAGGTGTGGGCAAACAGCATTCTAAAAGGATTTGTACAGCTGCACTTTCTTGTGCAGCAACAAGTGCTGTGCGTAAATCTTCTCTGTCTTTTTCACTCTCTAACAGGCCTGCCTTTTCTAGCATTGGATGTTCCAATGTATGATGTAAAAGATGAGTTCTAGAAGCAGCTAGAAAAGCTTGAAGCATGTGAAGGACGATTTCCATGAAAGGGGGACACCTAAAAATATGGAAAAAATGCACTTTACATATGCTTTTAAATATGAATATTTTAAGATACACTTTATGCAGCCAAAATTACATATGTTTAAGAAATATAAAATGTATAAAAAAATTTATAGTTTATTTCACTAAAGTACAATATGAAGTACATCAACTATCACTACAAGCTATACATTTCCATCTGTTGGAAATCAGCATTCCCTTTACACCTGTGCAATGCTGAAAAGGATAGAGTACAAATATATTTAATTTCCAGTGGGAAATCCAGCTGTGCCCATGGTATGGAATGTTGATAGGACTCTGGCAGTAGAAGACGCTAGCGAATAGAATTTGACTGGAGTGGGTAATGTGGTACTAGACAATACTCACTGCATACCAGCATACTGAATCTCAAGCTTTATAGATCGTTAAGTGCTTGCTGATGGAACTAGTATATTTATTTGCCAGACTACTTTGCATGGGCCTGTTTTTCACGATGCTGCAAAGTCACTATGCTCAATATTACCACTTGTTTCTCTGTAGTACAAGAGCTATTTATCTGAACTTGTTTCCATGGTCCCTTATGTATGCACGTTCATCACCTAACTTCATATCTAACACTCCTTTTTTGGCTAAAGCAAAAATAAATTAAACCTTATATCTTCTTAACATGGTCTCCATGTGCATATCCTGCTATGTATTACTACGACAGATGTTATGGGTGCAGGGCCTGACGAGATTTACGTCTAGTAAGTGAAATGTGTCCATGTTTTTGATAAAAAATCAAAATTATTTCTTTCCCCTTGACTGTAATTACAAGCAGCCAATAATAATGAATGCTAATTTACAAATTCACAGGTTAGAAAAAACTAACTTTGAAACATGCTTTTTTCTTATTAAAAATGCTTTCAATGCAATCAGAACTGTGGAAAGACGCAAGTTTGCAATTTATAAAGCAAGAAATTTTTGAAGTTAACCAAGTAGAAAAATGGGTTAAAAAAGATCAGAAAGACTAATCAATTATGATTCTTAACATAAAATCACACATAAAAAAGTGTAAGCTTCATATGAAGCATGGATAACATTACATGAACTTCATCAGCCGGAAGGCCCTATATCTAAAATGAGCCTTATAAAGCAGCTGATCTCTGAAAAGATGAAACAGGGTTTGTACACATTTCCGCTTCTGGAAATTAAGTACTTTTAATGATCATCAATGGAAAAAAACATACCAGAAAATGGAAATTGAATAAATTCAAGCAATTATCTGTGCTTAAACTTCACTTTTGTAATATTAATCGAAGAATAAAACATATTTGTGAGTAGGATGCATTATTACACACAATTCAACATAATTATAAAACAATTTCGATAAGAAATTAACTTGCAAAATTTATCAAGTAATTAGCATTAAATTACTAAATTTCTTGAAATATTTATATTTTACACTTATAATTGTCTCATATATTTTAAAGAACAATGATGACATTTTATTAAAGTTTTATGTCGAAGCTTTCTTTTATACCTCATTTCATCATGTACTTGCTCAATCCAGAGGTTTATGCAGATTGTCAAGCAATGATTAAAACGAGCAATAAAATCATTATCAGCATAATTTATAACAGAAACTTGGGTGTTGCTACCATTACTGCTTGCTTAGAAAGATATTTGAATGCCTGACAATGGAATGCTTGGAAGGTGCTAAAAGTTAGTTTTGCTTTGTCTATATGATCCAGCTAGTTTTGTAGTTTCAACCCAGTTAGCACGCTATTAAGTTCTAATAAGCCACTAAAGCACCTGTAGTGTTTCAGCTGTTTTGTAGCATTTTAAGTCTCACTAGCTGCAAAAACTATGTTTTAGGTTAATTTTTTATGTTTTTGTTTTGTAACTTGTATCCGCAGCAAGGATTAAGGACACGCAATAACTTCCCTTAATGCAGAGAGATTACGTCTAAGGGCATATAGTTAGATACCTTTAATTATAAATTTATATGGCAAGTATTAAAAAAATATTCATTAAAAAGCACTATTAAAATCTCAATCTAATAATATTTTACAGTTTAAAATAACAGATATTTATACAACTCTGTATCTCTAACAACTATAAAAACAAAAGGCAGAAGATTTTTTTTTAAAACAAAATTCAGCAATGAAAAGTGCAAAGTGAATTTTATGCAGAAAACTGATCCAGATTTGATAGATTTAAATGAGGAAAATTTTTATAAAAATACAAAAGATGATGAATGAAATTAATTAAAAAATAATTACAGCAGCTTTTGATAAGATACATTTTGAAAGGTCAACTTATCTTTTGTTTTTTTTCCCTCCCTCAAATAAAAATATTCATAAATTGACAGAATGTAAAGTAATGGAACTTTAAAATATGAGAGAGGAAATGAAAATGTTTTTTTTTAAAATATTTCTTAATTTAATTAAAATTATATTTACTTAAATATAATTTTAACACATTATCATTATTTTAATGACATTTATCAATTTTGTAAAAATAAAATATCTCCAAAATTCTTAACGGTGAATCAAAATTCTGTATACAAATTAATCTTAAAATCAGCAAAAGTTGATAAGTTTCCAAATTTAGTGTTGCATAACAATACTTTTATTTCCCTAAAAGGAAAAAGGTGTTTTTGATGTACTATATTGTGATCTCTTCAATTATAAAAAAGAATTTCAAAATGTTTGGTTTTGATTGAAGTAGGGCCTTGTGCCCAGGAACTCAAGTAAGACACCATTTGCATTAAAAGTAGGAACAAGTTCAAAAGATAACCCATCAAATACATATCTTTCAATGATTTCCCAAAAATATTCCTCATAAATGTTAATTCTCACTCAAAACAGCAGTCATAAAAAAACAGACAGAAATGGAAGATAAGTAAATTTAAAAACATTTTACCAATTTTTAAGGCTTTGTTAAAAAAAAAAAAAAAAAAAAAAAAACCTAAGGAATTAAGGACCATAAGAGACCCATGAAAACAAACAGAATGATGCAAGATTATTTGTTTTTTTCTTTAAACTCTTAGATAAACATGCAGAAATAGGTTATGAAATGCTAGAAGAATTTGCAACTATTTTGCTATTATGTAACTTTACTGGAAAATCTGAAATCAAAATCATGGCAGAATCTTATGATGGACTGCCTCCTTATGATGGACTTCAAAATTGACATTACTAAGACAGTCGAAAAGATGCCAATTTAAAAGCACAAGATGCTTTAGTTATTTAATATAATAAAATGCAAAATTAAGATTTTAGTTGCTGTAACTGCAAAAGAACAGAACATAAAGCATCAGAATGTAGGAAGGAAAGGTAAAAACCTTGATCAAGAAAATATTAAATAAAGTTGTTTGCTCAGCATTGTCAATACAATGCGAGAATCAGGAACAGGTTTGGTTTGGTTTATGTGATTATGGCAAAGCCTCAAGGGCTATCTGCCTAAGGGAAGGAATGTTTTTGTGAAGGACTTTCTAAGGGAAACTGACTTGTATACATGTCACACACTGGGAAAACCATGAAAACACCCATGCAGCCAACCCGTTCATGGGATTCGAACCTCAGACAGAACTACCAGTGTTCAGTGACTTTACTGCTCGGCTGCTGGTGGGCTCAAATTAGGCACAAATAACTACATCTTGACTAGGACAGCCGCACTTGCACGCAACAGCAAAAGTTTGAGTCACATCAACAACTGAAAGAGAAAGTTGAGTTTAATTGGCAAATAATAAATTAGTAAATGTTAAAGGCAAAGGGAAAACTGAAATTTATGCAATCGTCAATTCAACTACAGCACATAAAACAAAAAGATGTATTATATGTTCCTAGACTAAAAATGAACTTAATTTCAGTTATCTTAGCATCATAATGTAAATTTACTTATTTTATAAATAACTATGCATGGGCTAAAAATAAACACTTTGTTTTACAAGCAATTAAGCAAAATCAGCTACATGTTGTAAATAAAATGACATACCTGAAATTTCAAACTTTGCAATGTAAGACAAATATTTGAAATGGTAAAATTAAATTTTGGCATGAAAAGTGTGATCATTAGAATTTAGCCAACTGAAAAGCACTGCAATCTAAAATGATGGTGTACAATCTAATTCCAAAGTATAATAATAAATCTTTATTTTGCAAAATGAGTAAAAATCAAGCTAGGTTATTTTTCCCCAAACAAGCACATGCAATAAACTTTTGAACTTATACATACTAATATTTGTGGTCCAATGAAAGTCATATCCTCAGGTGGTCCAAGATATTTCATAATGTTCATAGATGGCAAGTTGCAGAAAGTATGTGTATGTTCTACAAAATAATCGAAACCCTTCAAGCATTTAAAAAGTACAAATTATAAGACTGAAAAACAAAGACACAAGTAACCTAACATTCTCCAAAATGATAATGTCAAAGAACTTGCTAACAACAAATTAGCCAATTTATGGAAAGAGAGGGCATTAAATGCCAATTTCTAGTTGAGTATAGACCATAACAGAATGGAGTTGCAAAACGCATCAGTCATATTTTAGCTGAAATAGTCAGATGTCTGTTCAGTCTGTAAGTCAAAATTACCACAAGTATTATAGGCAGAAATGGTATACATCTCTGCCTATATGCCGCCCAGATGGTATAGTGGTTAGGGGAGCCAATTGTAATAGCAAAGGGCCCGGGTTCGAATCCCGGAGAAGGCAGGGTTGTAACTGTCTGCCCCTTCATCGGAGGCAAAGGTGGCCCACCTGTTAGGTGCCTCGATAATAAAGTGACCACCACTTCTGGCTTTAGTTGTTGCCAAGTTGAAGTAAGTTGAGGCTCCGCCATTGGGAGAAAAAGAAAAAAATTTTGCCTATATACACAACTGATATTCTACTAAAAGCAGATCCAAAATGCCTAAGACATTTGCTCCAAAAGAAAGCCTATTGAAGCATACTTTTTTTCATTGACAAATTCAAACAGGAAATATAAAATTTTCTCCAAATATGAAGACTATAGTCTTATTGTATATTCAGAGAAAGCAAAAGCATACCATCTGTGGAAAGCTGGAACTCATCAAATATTGTGAAGTTTAATTTTTAGAATTGCTACAATTCAAACAAGATTGGAAACTTCAACAGCTGATGAAAATAAATTCATTAAATTAGTTTCTGCACATAAAAATTCAGAAATAGCAGATGAAGGGAGACTAGATGTTGGAAGTAAATGCAATTTCAGTTGAAAACTCTGAAAGAGAACAAGGAAGACTGATATTTCTCAAAATAGGTGAATGGGCAGGTAAAGAAAAGACTATCAGCAAAATAGACCCTAATTTGGTAAATTGAAGCTTTTACAGGACCAGAAACTGCAGAAGCTTTAAAAAGACCTGATTAAAAAGAGAGAGAGAGAAAGAAAGAAAGCAGCTATGCAAGATGAATAAATTCTTTAATGAAAAACCATACCTGGGAATTAACTGACCTTCTAGAAGACTGAAAAGACATTTCTGCAAATGGATATTCCAAATAAAGTGGAGGGTGGATGGCAATGTTGATCGGTACGAGGCAAGATTCATCGTCAAAGGATGTTCACATAAGTATAGAATTGACTATACAAAAACTTTTTCATTCATAGTTCGTAATAATACTAGACACACATTATTTATTAGCTGCTGAGAATAATCTGAAGATATATCTAATGAACGTTCAAACAGCTTATTTTAATGGAGAAACTGATGAAGAAATTTTGATGTCCCACACATAAAATTTTTTAACATACATAAAATGTTTGAAACATAAAACACATAAAACGTTTGAAAGCTAAATCTCTAAACTTAAAAAGTCAGTTTATGGATTTAAATGAGCAAAATGGATGTAAAACCTAAAACTCCATGAAAATTTTTTTAAAAAATCTGATACCTATGTATTATTTTATGTACAGGAAAAAAGCAGATGAGTATGTCATAATTGCTACATATGTGGATGATTTGATATTCTAACTAAAAGGGAATCTTTGTGATACACATTAAGGAAACCCAATAAAAGTTTCAAAACTGTGGACTCAAGAAGGAAAAAACAAAGTGTTTAGACATCAAAACATTGAACAAAATGGAAATGTATCAATTAGCTAAGTTCAATATTGATTTGAACATATGGTTAAGTATAGTTTGCAAGAATGTAAGCCTATATCAACAGTATTAGAGATTCTAACATTATATTTTGTATATCTTCAAATGTTGACAAATGAAAACAAAAGTGAAAAAAAAAGTATCAATCCTTAATCAAATCTTTGAGTTATTTAGTTGTATCTACGCAGCCTGGCATTGCAAATTCTGTTAGTAGACTCAATTAGTTTAACAGTAACCCAAAAGTGCTTCGACTGGATTTGAGTAAAATGTGTACTACAGCATTTAAACTGCAAATATAATTTACCAGAAAACAAATGAAAGTATGTAGATGCTGAAAATACTCTCGACAGGAAATCTTTCAGTGGGTATAGTTTCATCTTGGAGAGTAATCTGACTTTGTGAGAAATGGAACAAGCATACAATTGTAGCTGTATCAAGTACTGTAGCAGAATACATAGCATTAATTGAAGCTGCAAACAAAGTTATGCAATTGGGTTTGCTATTGGGGAAGTGTGGTTATCGGAAAAAGTAGCAGAATCAACTGTGTTAGGGATTGAAAATCAAAGTGCACAACATTTAGTAAAGAATTCAGTTTACCATTCTAGAACAAAACACATCAATACTCAATTTTAGTACACTAGAGAGTTAGTTATATGATGAAGAAATTTCATTGGTCACATATCAAATGGCAGAAATGCCTGCTGATATTTTAATAAGGAATCTCAGCAGAAATAAATAAAGATAATGTACGAATCTAATATGTTTTGAGTGTTAACTAATGAATGCGTTTTTCTGTTTTATTCTTTTTTCAGTACTGCAAGGGAGAGTGTTGGAAATTTGCATTTCTTTTACTTTCTGCACAGTATTGAAAAGAAGAGAGAATGGTAGTACAGTGGAAGCTCAGCTACATGTGTAATGTGGAATACCAACATGTTTGTGGTGGTAGAAGACGCTAACAACAGTAGAAATCGATTGGAGTGCAGAGGTGTGGTAACAGCCAGGATTCACAATCTATCAAATGCATTGGATCTTAGCTTTATGGATCCCAAGTGCTACAAGTATATTCATTTACCTCACAATTCTGCATGGACCTATGTCTCATGACATTGCATCATGGTCAACATTACCATCTTCTTCTCAGTAGTACAAGAATTGTCTACCTGAACTCTTGCTTCAATGGTCACACATGTATGTGCGTTTGTCATCCATCTTCACACGTAAAAAACATCTCTTTGTTACATCTAAACCAAAGACGAATTAAATTTTAGATGTTCTCCACTTATCTCAGCCATCTTTGAGGGCACATCCTACTACATATTTAATACAACATGAGTAACAAATTAAATATTAAATTTTGAAATCACCTATAAAGTTACTATTTCCTAAAAATACATATTGTTTGACTTTAAGATTAAAATTTCTTACTTCAAATTCACTAGATGGTAGCTTCAGACATTATTCTATTTAAAGTGCTTTTTAGTTATTTTAAAAATTATTCTGTTTTATTAAGAGTTTAATGCATACTATTTCATTGTTCATATTAACTTGTATCTACTCAATTAAAATTCTAATGTTTAACTAATCTTTTCAACTTTTGGAGATTGCAAGGTCTGACTTACAAATTGTTTTAAGCTGGATCTAGTCTTCACCTACTAAAATCAATTTGTGACAAATAGAGCTAACTATATTAAATCACTTGCTGCACAAGCAATGTGGACTTAATGTTTGTAGTTTTTCAAATCCACTGATTACATCTCCAGAAGCATTTTGCCAAAAGATCTTCTCGTTCACACACTTTGGGAAAATGGGCTTGAGCAACTCCTATCTAATAGAATTACCCTTGTTTTTTTCTTATACCTCAAAATGTTGGTTTACAGACATAAGAGGAAATCACAATCATATTGAAGTATAACATGAAAAAAAATTTCTGAATTTTTTGTTGAAGTTTTCTTCTTATACTAAATTTTGTAGAGTACTAGTTTTCTGTCTCATATTTATTTACAATTCTAGTCATCCTGATACATCGCACACCGATGCATCGCACCTTCAGTGCAACAGAGATTTTAAATGCCATCACTTATATTCTTAAAACTAGTTCCAGAATATGAATTTTCTTTATAACTGAAGATACCGAAAAAAAATAAATCTTTAGCCTTCAACAATAAATATCTTTCTTTGAATAATTCCTTAGATGACGAAGGACTAATTCAAGTTGGTGGATGAATCCTAACATCAGTCACTCAGTCAAGATTAAAAACATTCAACACTTCTTCCTAAAAGCCATGGAATTATAAAGTTAATAATTCAGCATTACTATATGCAAGCAGTTTTCCAGGTCCATGAGTTCTTTCAGCAACAGTGTTAAAGAATATTGAGAGATATTTGATTTTAATATGTTGATATATATTTTCTTATATTTTTTACAAGAGGTAATTATTAATATATGATAATTGTCAATGCACTCAATAAAGTAAAAAACAATCTAAATTTCTTAATTATTACACTATAGCAGTATGAAAGACAAAAATATGGCAATATATTTAAATGTTTCATAAATCATAAAATACTTAATACTGCCTTTTAAATAATTATTATCCATAAAACATACTCTGTTTTCTAATTGCAGATTGCAGTTTTGCCCCTCTTCCCCCCAAAAAGAGAACATTTATTAACAATACAAAAATTCAGTCTTTAATTATTTAACAGCTATTTCTTACCTGAATATTCTTTTATCACATCTCAGCACATAAAGAGGATCCAGAATAATATCATCTAAAGTGAGTTTTCGAGCCGTTTTGAATGTTTTTTGGGAGAAAGTATTTACAGTCATGACCCAAAGGTTACGAGGAAATATGGAATTCAGCTTCCACCACACTTTTTTTGCTTTGATAAGAATTTGAAGTTTATCAGAATTATCAAGTAATTTAGGCAGATAGGTTACAAATTTTGAAGCATAAGGCCACAGTTGCTGCACAGGTAATGCAAGAAGATGGTTTAGATGTGACAATAGTTGAAACGGACAACTTTCCACTTGCTCAAATGCTGAGGGAAAAATTTTTTAATAACTGTAAATATGTAGCTGTAATAAATATTCACCAAACTCCAGAAAATAATGCATATAATTTAATGACAGTACTGATAAATATATCATTTTAAAATATTAAAAATTTGAAGTTTAAAACCTTTATGTGAGCAAGAACATTTTAAAATGCACAACTGATATTGATTACAAATTCTGCATTCATATTGCATAAATAAAGCATATACATATATAACATTTTCTGCAATTAAATCTTTCTGATTTAATTAAAATGTAATACTTCAATCTCAAATAAAAATAATTTGTTAATTTAAAAGCAGTAGTATCAAGTCGGAATAATACCTTCAAAGTTTTTTCAAGAAAAAATATATTTATACCTTGTTGAAAAAAAGATAAAAATTAAAGATAACCAATCTTTCTTATAACTAAAAAACCTAATTTCAGAGACTAACAAGAAAATTATATACGTTAAATTTCATGCATTTTTTTTCTAGAGATTTATTTACTTTTTAAAAGACTGAACTAACTGATGAATTTTGATAGTTCTCTGTTGTGCTTGCTACCTTTCTACATTCCATTGAATGAAACAAGAAATTATAAAGATACAAATCAAATGGAAGAGATCAAAACAATGATGATGATATAACAACAATACTAAAAATCTTTCTTCTATCTGATATGTATAATTTTTGCAAAAAGAACTATTTCATTATTTTATCAGAGATGCAAACATTTATTTTCTTTTTTAAAAATGAAATATAAGTCATTTAAAGCCTTTTAACTAATTCCATAAATATTTTTTGGTTGAGTTTTCTCTCTTTCCCCTCCCCTTCAGATTGAATAAGCTTCCCCTTTCTGAAATTTTCAATGCAAATGTTGCCAGCATTAAAAAAAAAGGATAATTTTTCTGCTCAGATATTTTGAGCTTGTACAGACAAACATTACTAAATTTTCTCCATAAAAAGTTTCATTGACCAGCAGGAATTTAGAAGCTATTAAAAGTAAATACTTATTATACTAAAATACTGAACGAAAGCATATTTCTTAAAAATTAAATGCTTTTTTATTAGCAAATTTTTATACTGGGTTAATATATAATAACACTGTATAAAAAAGAGTCGATGGTAAGAAAAAATGAAATTTTAGGCATAAAACTTTATTTTTCTTTGCTTTATATCTGCGAACAATGACATTAGCTACTTTTTCAATACTTAAAAATTTTTACTTTTTTTTTTCACAATTAAGGATTTTTCTTTACTGATTTTTATGTTTTTAAAGCAATAGATATTCAGAAAAAAAATATTAAAAATCAAATTAACTAAAATACTGACTAAAAAAAATTTTTTTTTTAATATTCTTGGTTTTAAACTTGAAATGTACTGAAAGTTTTTTTTATAATATAATATATATTTTAATTAATTTTACTTAAATATAAAGTTTTCTTTTATTTTCAATCTATAACAGCTGCTGTTCATATATCATTCATACTCAAGCAAATACCTATATCAAGGTGTAATAAAAACTTAATACGCATTTACCATAGTACTGAAAGCATCATTTTATAGCTGAAACAAATACCTTTATCAAGACTTTCTTTATTAAACCCATGTTCTGGCCACCCTAGAAGTTTTACACGGGAATTCTTCAAGGCAAAATCGCTATCTTCATCATCAGTTAGCCATGACTGTACTAAACAGAGATGAGGATAATGAGTTGTAAGTAGACGCAGCAATGGGGCAAAAAGGCCTGCAAATTGTTGCTGATCTTTTTGAGCTCTTTGAATTAAATAGAATACCGGAATTTTGGCAATAAACTGAGGTGAATACCGTTTAACTTTTCTTTCACTTGCCAAAATAGTTTTCATATTTGATAAACGTGTGTCTTCATAAAGTAAGAGATAATATAACAGCAATAGCTGTGATGTCAAAGATGATGGCTTTTCATCAGTTTCCATTGGCACATTATCTTTTGAAGGTAAGGTAACAATCTTATCTTGTTCTTGGGGCATAAAAACAGACTTAGAAAACACCGCAAGAATTTCTTCTTCTGTTATAGGCTCATTTGTGGTGTCTATAGAGCCTTTTGAACTCGGAGTTAAAACAGAATTTACATACACTTCAATTAATGCAGGCAAGACAGGATGTAAAGGTGGTACAGTATGACATATTTGTTTGTAAATCCAGTCTTTTATGGGTACCTAAAGAAAAAAGAACAATAATTATATATCAAATGTCAGTAAAAGAAATATAATAATCAAGTATAAAGCTAAAATCAGAAATGATAGGAAATTAAATGGTTTTTATTTTTTAAATAATGTGAAGAATACAAGATTATAACAACTGCAAGACTATAAATAATCACAAAGTTGAATGTGCAAATAGAAACTGCTCATTTGCAGATACTTTTAAATAGACATATTTGCCTGCAGAGAGGAGGACATGGACAATATATTATACCTAAAGAAGAAAATATGTTGGTTTATTAGAGATTACTGCAGCACTAAAATTTTTTCTTGATAAGCAGATAATGTTAAATCATTCCAAGTATCACGAGTTTCAAAAATTTTCCAGCAGCTATGAAAACTCCTACATTGATGCACTCTCTAACACAAATCCATTTTTCATGAAATAATACTTAATTTAACCTTACCTTTAATACTTAATATTAAGTTGCAAGAAATTTAGCATTCCACCAATGTGCCCAAACAGTGCAATGGATAATGCAGAGTTTGACTATCTAAAAGTTTTAAATTTGAATTTACCATAGAGCATTAAGTGTTGCACACTTTTTTTTATATTCATAATACTATTTATATTTGGGATGTAAACTGATGAAGATATTCAAATTATCAGGATATCTGGATTTGTTATGGATATCTTCCATGTAAAAATTTTTACTGCTTGGAGTAGTAAAAAAGGTTTTATAATTTTTGGTTAATTCTTTGCTCTTCCAACATGTTTATTCAAAAAGTTTATACAAAATGTTAACATAAAAATACTAACTCAGTATTTGAAAACAGTGGAAAATAATAAAATGCTTAATTTAAATTATTCTTTGTTTTGAGGCTGAGGATTGCAATGATTTGTAAAGCAATTTAAAATGAAATCTTATGTTTTAAGACTTTTATTTTAAAAATACAGGTAAGAAGTTATATTTATGTATTTAAAATTGTGAATTTTAAGACTGCAATAATACAATCAATAAAATTATTATCATGATCTGATTTTTAGATTTGCATTCTGTGAATTGTTTTAATGTTATTTTTAAGAAATTAGGAGATGAATGAGCTTTAAGGCATAAGCTCCTACTTCAATTATTTTTCCACTATTAGCAATGACATCAACATTTTAGTTAACATCATACAAAGAGGCGAACAGAAAAGAAAGACCACCTATGCTTAATTTCTATCCTCACACCAAGTCTCAGAGTGTATATACAACTTTAAAGTTTGATTTATTCCCTACTTTTTAATTCTCCTATTCTTATTCCTACGCAGTTCAAACTCTAGTCAGTTTCACATGTCTGCTTCTTCAATCAATTAGAGAATGGGGGATGAGGCTTAATAGTGAATAAATTAAAACTGTGGTAAAAAATTTCTTACCACACTAAAACTTGCAAACTGTTATTTATTCTGTTCCTTTTGATAGAAGTGGATACGAAAAATTGAGGTATTCTTCTCATTAGTGCTGTGGTTAGCATATTACTGAACCTGATATATTGTGTTTGAGGAGTCTGTATAGGCCCACAATATATTTTCCTACAATAATTTGCTTTGAAATATTTTTAAATAAATTCTTTATAGTTTAGTTTAACATAACGATCACAGAAACATTAGTCATATGTCATTACTTCATATTCACAATTATTTGTGAACTTTTAAGTATCATATACAGTATCTCTCAACAATTCAATTATTTTTATGTAGACTACAAGCGGTAAAAAATATTATACCTTATATTTAGTAAAAGCTCGACTTTTAAGTAACTGATGAATGCAATGGACAGGAAGAAATCCTGTAACATTTCTACTCAGATTTTTTGTTACAGGGACTCTTACAGCATGTGCAGTTACAATCTGCAAAAAAATAAAATAATTATTATCAGATTATTAAAAGCAGTTTCTAGAATATAAACATCTATGTTATTTGTCCACACAAAAGTAACTAATATATAGCTTAACTATAATACTAAGCAACAAAATACACCCAGGAACAATGAAAACATTGCACCAAGAAGGAAGGTACAATCAAGAAACTTTGCGGAATAAGTACAGCAAGATCCAATATGCACACGATCCAAGTTTGGTGCCAATGTACATGACCACATACTCCGTACTGGAACTGCAATCAGGAAATAGGCCCTATATAAACTGGCACATAGATGAAGATTCATAAGCAGGATGATCACACTTCAACTCTAGGAGGACTTTACTAAGTGAAGAATATCAAGTAAACATGAGAGAAGACATTTCTCACAGTGAGTTTGAGAGGGGCCTGATCATTGGCATGAAAGCTGCAGTTTGGGTCGATGCCCCATGTTGTTCGCTAGGTCAAGCAGTACAGAGATGCAGAGAACCAGGGCTTCGTGGGTAGAATGAATAACCACGAAGATGACGAGGTGAGAGGATCGAAGGATTCTGTTGCAAGCATTCGATCCCCCAGTGACTTGTTCCATGATACAATTAGATATGGGTGTGCCAGTTATTCCACAAACCATTTTTAGATGTCTCGTAGAAGAGAATTTGCAATCTAAGTTGCTTTTTCATGTACTGTTTTTAACACTGAAACATTAATGACTCCGTCTACAGTGGTACCAAGTCAGAGTGAAGTGGAATGCCACAAATTGGCAAAATATGGTGTTTAGTGATGAATTCTGGTTAATTTTAGGAACAGATGATAGCCACATACGGGTGTGAAGTCACCCTGGTTAATGGTACAATTCCACCCACTCTGTTGCGCAATACACTGTCTGCACAGCAAGCACAATGGTCTGGGGGGTTCATAATCTATGATAGCTGGTCCCCTGTAAGTGTGGAACCTTAACGGGCCAGCATTAAGCTGATGACATTCTTTGATCCAAAGGATGGTGGAAAGTTGTTTTAAAAATGTTTTATATTAATGTTATTTCTTATATGCATAATATTAATTTATTAGCATAATTTTTTTTATTAGTCTTTGAGTTAAAAAAAATAGTATACAAACTGATTTTGAAATCACTAAAATGTGAGTATGTCGCTAAATTTAGTGCCACATAATAAAAAAAGGTCATAACTATGGCCTCGTATCTAAAACTCAAGTATCCACCATTTATAAACCCATCTTGCATACCATGCTATACCTGTCCAGTCTGGGCATACTCCTGCAAATCTAGCAGAAAAGGATTCCAAAGGGTGCAGAACTGTGTTCTGTATCAGATTTCTAATGCATCTTGGTACATATGCAACAACAAAATTCATGAGGAACTAAAAGTTGTTCTGCTTATTATTACCATTTAGCCGAAAATTTTTGTGCTAAGATCAGAACCCTATACAATACTGAAATTAATATGCAACTATGATTACAGGAGTAAAGCTAATAACAAAAAGCCTATGGCAATTTTGAACACTAGTGCAATTCTGGAGGACTGATGTATTTTTTTATGCACTGTCCTGCAAATTTATCTCATTTTACTGTAATGTATAATCTGTAAATATTATGTATTTTCTATGGCATTGAGCAATACCTTGTGTATTTACGTATTTGTCACCAAATACTTTAAAATATCATATATATATATATATATATTTTAAAGATATACATATACGCAAAATAAAAAATATATAACTTAAAAATACATACAATAAAAAAAATATATAAATCAAAATTATAATTTAAACTAATGGTAAAGTCTTTAATTCTTTCTCTCTTTTTTAAAACTTGTAATAACTTCTCTGGATTGCGTCATTTCTAAATCATTCCTTTTTGCATGCCTGCACGGTGCTGATGATGTAATTATTGGGAACTGAAATTTTCTACTCAGAACCAAAGCCTTTCTCTTCGTGTGCTTCCATATCAGATAACCACGCACTTCAGCTTTGCTCTCTGCTCTGCTAGGATGTAATTTTGCGGGTCTTGCTTCCTTTTGCAAAAGTATCAAAAATGTAAATGTTCTTGAATAGGCATAATTAGAGTGCCAAGTGAGCTGTGGCCACATATTTTAACTTGAAATAAAAATGAAAACAAAACTGCCTTGACTGCCAATTTTTTTAGATATTACGAAGTCAACTTATTATATACTACCCAATCAGAATTCTTCCTCTTCAATATGGATCTATGTATGCATCAACAATGCTCCGTCTTTTCCTTGCTATTATTATAGTACATATATCTATCTATCTTAAAAGATACAATTTATAAGAAAAGGAGAGGTAAAAATTAGCTAGAGCTGTAAAGAACATAATATATTGTATTATATTTTTTATTTAAATTTTATTTCTTATATATATATGTAATAAAAATAAAGAATATGTTAAAGATTAAAATAGCAATGTAAATTTCACTTCTGTATTCTAAAAATAGTAACCCCTCTCTGCACTGCATCATTTCGAGACTAATCTATGTCGTATGACTCTTACGTAATTCTGGTGATGTAAACTGAACTAAAACTCAAGCAGCCAATAATAATTTTACAGCAATATTAACTATCCAATCAAAATGCTTTGAGAACCAAAACTAACTCAGTTTGACTTAAGATTTCACCCTGAACGTTATGCACTTGCTTTCAATGCTTTGGCCTGGCTGCATTGCTGTCTGTCTGCTCCTCCTGTCTTACTGCAAAATTATCTAAAATGTAAGCATTTCGGAAAATAGGCGCAATTAATGTGCCGACTTGTTTGTGGTCACAACATGCATGCTGGAAATAAAAATGAAGATTTAATCTGCCTTCGCCTCCAATTTCCTAGTCATTATGGATCAACACTTTTATGCAATCAAAATTCCTGCTCCTGAATATATTACATATGTATATACATTTTAAAAATGCATACATTTACTGTTATTGACAGAAATCTATTTAGAAACTCTGAATTTTATTCGATTTGAGTTAGGGCCCCGCGTCCGAGCACCCTGGTGCTTAGTGTTATTCAATGACAGAATTCAAGAGTTAACCCATCAAACACTTATTTGTCAATGAATCGCCAAAAAATATTCCTCCGAAATGTTCATTCACATTCAAAATGGCATACATTTATTGAACTAGTTATTGACAGAAATCTATTTAGAAACTCTGAATTTTATTCGATTTGAGTTAGGGCCCCGCGTCCGAGCACCCTGGTGCTTAGTGTTATTCAATGACAGAATTCAAGAGTTAACCCATCAAACATTTATTTGTCAATGAATCGCCAAAAAATATTCCTCCAAAATGTTCATTCACATTCAAAATGGCAGTCGTAAAATAGCAGACAGAAATATGTGATGAGTAAAATAAGAAACCTTTTTTCCCAGTTTGGCCCAAAAAAAGAAATTAAAAGACAAAAAAAAAAAAAAAAAAAAAAAAAAAAAAAAAACTAAGGACCTTTAAGAACCATCGATCCTGATATATATATATATATATATAAAGAGATATATATAATGGTATATATAAAGAGATATCATCAGTTGGAAAATAGCTACTTTTCTGTTAAAGCCATAACAAATGCTTTTGGAGGGGGGCTGTATTTCCTTGACATAAGGTATTGCCAGTTTGGTTTAGCTTCTTTCTTGGTGATAATTGCCTTTAGAATCATCGTGCAATCATTGACTATTTTGTTTCTTCAAGAAAGAGATGTTCTTCACAAAGAAAGATTATGTTCGAATAATCATTTCATGAAATCAAAATGCAGCCTTTGCTCCTACAGAGAAGAAAAAGGTATTTCAAACACAAATATATTTATAAGATCATGTATTCCCCTTATTACTGCTGGTTGATTCATTTATTTATGATGTCAATTGTTAATGTCTATTGAGATTTTCAACCCAAAGCTTACTTCAAATGAATAATATCACAATGGCTGACTGGAATAATTAAATTAGAGATAGTATGTGTTGATTTCTTGTTAACTTGTTCTAACATTAAACTCAATGGACGTTGTAGAAATTGATGAAAACCTACTTATAAAAAGAGAACTATAATGTAGGCTGTTTTTCTCTGACAATGAGTTTTTAAAGGATTGTTTAAGTTAGAGAATGTTCCTTGATGCAGTTCCCTATTACTCTATATGTCTAGTATTGAACCAGAGGGAAAAAAAAATAAGTCCAAATGTGGCAGCAAGGCGTTGAAAATGTGTGGCATGACTTTAATTAAAGAGTACCAAAAATATTTCATTATCTGCTCCTTAAAAAATACCAAAGAATTATTAACTTTTATTAATAAATTGTTTTGTTTTAATTTACATTTTGTTTCAGAATTATTTCCAGTTTTATGCTTCATTGTGTTTGATTTTTTGCTTTCCCCATGTCAGGTAGCTTGCCACTTTTAGATTTATATTCCATATACTTTTATTCTTATCATCTTATTTTTTTTATTCTTATCATCTCTCCTGCTTTCTATTTCTCTCTCTCTCTCTCTCACTATATATATATATATATATACAGACATACATACATACATATATATGTATTTTCTTTTCAGTTTTATTCAAGCAACTTTTCATCCAATACTTTCATCTTTAAACTTTTGAACTTGACAGCATATATATATTTAACTCTCTGAGCGGTGTGGAATTTAAGACCTGTATCCTGTATTTAGCCTTTATTAGCTAAATTTGCATAATTACTTATTTTAGTCTCTAGTTTCATAAACTTCCATTTATTAAGATGACATTTACATTATTAATGAAAGTAAGAAAATAAAATATCTTAAATTATGAGCTAATATATATATATATATGTAATGATATTTTTAAATCAATTGATTAAATTGAATTCTAATAATAGTGCTTAATAATGTGTTGGTGATTCTCTACTTAATTGCATCCTGTTTCCTAAATTTTGGCGAAATCCTTTTCTTTAGTATAAAATAATAACCTGTTGGCGCCCGCCAAATCGCCAAACTCATAAATCTGTCATATTACACAAAGTCTTAAGAACACTCCTGATGAGAAGATAGCGTCACCTCGTGATTTCAATTAATATCGCTGATTCGATGAGCCTCGTGACGCACACATATATAAGTAGGGCTTCTGCTCAGGAGGAGAACGCTTGGAGAATGGATGCTAAAATAAACTACCACTTTATATTCCAAAATTGTCTCATTCCTGTTGCCCCGGCTGCACAAAACAAATAATGTACGAGAAATTACATTTCAGAAAGCCGGTAGGATACCACCTTCAAAGGGATTATCTAAAACAGAAGATGCCCCAAGGACTATACGGATAAAATGTTACGCACTTTAGATGACATTGCCGGCTGTGCGACTTCTATGTTTCTACATTCTTCTCTAGGCGTTCTTGTTTCAAGAGTAATCATCCTTCTGTTAACTGTATATTCTGGTATTCTGCAGATTATTTGACGTCCAGAGAAGCATCTTATTTTACGTCCAGAGAAGCATGTTATTTTACGTCCAGAGAAGCATCTTATTTTACGTCCAGAGAAGCATCCTTCTGCCCCCTGTGATGTTTGATCTGTGTTTCCATCGAAAGTTCGTCGTTCATCAAATGTGCTCTTACCGTTGAACCTTACTTTGAGGATGGAAATCTTCCTACGTCTACGCCGTTCTGGTGTTGCCTCTCGAGAGATTTGTGCTTGTGTGGGTGATTGATCGTGTTTTGCGAAAATCTAATCAGAGTGCACAAAAATGTGTATTTTCGTGTCGATTTCATCACTTGTATTCTCGTCACAATAATCAAACAAAGCAATTAGTAAAAGATTGGCGATGCAAAATGATTATACTATTGAATTATAATTACTGATTTAATAATAGTTTTATTTTAAAATTTAAAAAGTATTATTGGTATAAATGTATTCATATAAATATTTGATGTCATATTATGTAAACGTTTGTGTGCCTTGAGGTAAATCCAATCAGTTTCCTACTAACTAATTCCTAATAACTAAATTTTCTGCTCTCACTATCTGGACTGTCTTGGGTCGACGGCCGCTGACTGCAAGCCTTTCAGATTGGGGGGGGGGATAAATCTGTAATGATATTTTTAAATCAATTGATTAATTGAATTCTAATAATATGGCTTAATAATGTGTTGGCGATTCTCTACCTAAATTGCATCCCTGTTCCTAAATTTTGGCGAAATCCTTTCTTAGTATAAAATATATTAACCTGTTGGCGCCCGCCAAAATCGCCAAACTCATTAATCTGTCTATTACATAAAGTCCTAAGAACACTCCTGATGAGAAGATAGCGTCACCTCGTAATTTCAATATATCGCTGATTGGAGGAGCCTCGTGACGCACACATATGTATAAGTAGGGCTTTGCTCAGATAGGAGGAGAACGCTTGTGAGATGGATCTAAAATAAACTACCACTTATATTCCAATTTGTCTCTCCTGTTGCCCCGGGGCACAAAACAAATAATGTATGAGAAATTACATTTTATATATATATATGATGATTATACCAAGTGACAAAAAGCTCATGACTGGATAAAGCCGATAATGCCGCTCAGAGGGTAAATAAATATACATAAGAATAATATAATATAAAAATCATACTAAATTTCAAATTTAATCTACATTAATATTAAAAAAATGAGTACCTGATCAGTAAATATTTCTTGCGTAAATATAGTTTTCATTCTGGCTAAATTATTGGATCGTATTGGAATTTTCATACCCAGAGTAGAAAATACCAAATCAGTGATTGAACTCATTTGGTTGCTATGGAAATGGATAGCAATTAACAGCAGCATTTCACCAAAAGATGCGTTAACTCCACTTGTGCTAAACATCCAGAATAATGACATTATACATAACGAGTTGGACTTAACATGATAAAGTAACAATTACACATAAATGCTGAAAAAAAGTTAACTTTTATTGTCAGGCTCTAAGAAACATAATAATTTTTTAAATAATGTTAAAACAATATAAAAAACTGTAAAGTATGTCTCGTGTTAAAAAAAAATTAAGTACATATAAAATATGGCTGAAAAACCTACATTGTAAACTGAGAAATAATATACACAAAATGTTTTATAATTTATACAGTCAAAAGTCGTTAATTCGGACACCCATAATCCGGAATGATCTATAATCCGGACCTCAAAGCTAAAATCTTTCTGCGCATGCGCAAGACATTTACGACTGCGCATATGTGTCTGCGCAAGCGCAGAATACGTTTTCACGTGCGCGTTTAATGTATAACGGACGGTATAAGCTCTAATTATCTACTTCAGTTAATGTTGATGATTACGTTGTTCCTTAATCTTCGAAATCGATCCGGCTTATTATTTTTTGCAGATTGTAACAGCAATTTTATAAAAGTAAGCTTGAACTTTTGATTATGTCAAATAGAATTTCTGATGCTGGAGCTCCCAAAGGATCTAGAAAATGAAAGTATGTTTCGATGTCCATCAAACAAAAAACAAATTGCTACAAAAAATGGATAAAGCCATATAACCGCTTTGTTTATCTAACCGTTCCGAAATCTGTTTATCAATTTCACGCTGTTCTGCGCAGGGGGGGGGGGGGGGGGGGGGCAGGACGTCGCGATGCACAATGAACTGGAAGTTGATTTGTCACCACTATTGTTATCTTCAAGGCAGATGTTTTTATTTTATTCGGCTTATAATTCCTCATTAAATGTAGTATTTAATCTCGATGTACTCCGTCTTTGATATGATTTAAATCAAATTCCTCATCATTATAAATATCACGAATACAAATCAAATAGTTTTCTGGTTGCAATTTTCTAATTTCGGCTATGCGTAAGATATGCTTCACGCATGCGCGCGTTGAAAGAAACGTTTAAAAGTAAACAAATAATATTAAGCGTCTTTTTTTTTTTTTTTTTTTTGTAAATTTTTGATACCCTTTTAGATCATAATTGCTTTATTATTTTAAAATTATGGTTTCATATTTTAATTTTATAATTTTCTGCATGCCATCTTATCAGATTTAAACTGATGATCTATAATCCGGAAAAATCGATAATCCGGAATTGCCGAAGTCCCAACGAGTCCGGATTAAAGACTTTTGACTGTATATCACTGTCTAATATATTTTTCTTAAGAATTTTATTTAAATTTTTTTCCCATAAAATCAATGTATTTAAGTACACTGTCCAAATGAGAATTAAGGAAAAAAGATTTTAAAGGGAATGTCGTGGCAGTGTTTTATGTAAAAAAAAAAGTATAAAAAACTTGCCAACTTCTACTAAGATGGTTACTACATTAAGTACTAACCACTAACATATCAGTACTGGCTTTTAGATCATTAAAGAAAATAAGAATCAAAATATTTTAAATGATAAAATGTCATATATCAAGTGAAAATAAATTTCATGACTGCTTGGTCATGATGCATCAGACACTGAAGAATGGAGGGGGGGATAAATAAACCAAACTCTAAGCCTGAAATTATGCCATTCAAAAGAGTACACAAAATTTGAACTCCCTTCAAACTTATAATAAATCTTAAATTAGTAATCATAAAATATTTTTAATAGCAGTATATTCTTTACAATCTGTTCACGAAGAACTACACTTAAATACCATTTATTAGTTAGATTTATATAATTACTAATTTTACTTTTTGTTTTTATAAACTTCTGTTCATTAAGATGGCATTTAGGTACTTAAGTATTAGAACAATCACCTTTGCAAAGTTTGGCAATTTTTTATAAACATATAAAACAAAAACAATAACAGATCTATAATTGAAAAAAAAATATTACACATGTAGTTTACATTTTTATTACACATTTATCCTGAAAATAAATCTATCAATCTACTTACACGCAGAAATTTTTTTTTTCCCTTGCTCTAGTGAAAATTTTGTAACTATTGCATAAGCAACTGTTTTGCATAAAACATTATTCCTAAAGAAATTTTATTACTGTGTTGCATGTGTAAAATGCACAAGCTCATACTTTAAAACTGACTGCAAAATATAAGATGATTTGTCTATAAAATTCACTGGAGTTTAGAATAAAAAGAATGCATATGAAGATAAATAGCAAAATCGAATTGCCATGCCCATGCCTATGGCTGTCAGACTTTAGCAGGTATAAAATTTTGCCACCTTCCACTAAGATTGGTTAATACATAAGTACTAACCACTAACATATCAGTACTGGCTTTTAGATCATTAAAGAAAATAAGAATAAAAATATTTTACATAATAAAACATCATATATCAAGTGAAAATAAATTTCATGACTGGATTAAAACAATCATGCTGCTCAGAAGGCTATGAATAATTGCTATGCATTCTACAAAACATAATTATCTTCTTTACTAAAATAATAAGAATTACATACATACAAAATCTATTACTGATTTTTGAAATTCTGAAATGCATTAATCTTTCAAAAAAATAATGATTATTTTCTCAATTAAACTTAATAGTTTTCATTCTTTTATACATTATATCTCCCATAGAAGTACATTCTATTAATTTTATTTTACTTCAAACAATGCTGATATGTTCTTTGAGAAATTTCGCTCTATATATACATATTTGAGTAGAGCAAATAAACATGCATTCATTAAAATCTGGAAATAGCTGGGAATTAATTCAGTCACTTCAAAGGAATTAAATTATTACGCCTATGTTTACCAAACTATGCGCATCTTCATAAGGGTGCTGCGAAATATTGTAAAAGCTTCATAAGTAAAGACATTTGGCCTAACTAAGCAAGAAACAAAATAAGAAGCTAAAAATATATATACTTTCTTGCATGATTTGGTTTTACTTGACCTGCATAAAAGTAGACTCACAGGCACAGAATATTCTTGTGAACACAAGACAGCAATGCTGTGCCTTCTTGATCTTGCCATACCTCATGACAATCTAACCTGAGAACACGTACTATGCTACATGGCTAGAACAATCTTTAGACGGCTTTTCACAGATCTTTCCATAAAAAGGAGCCGGGAACTTTTCTTTGGATTAAAGTAAGTTCATCATGTCGTTTGATTTGGTTTTGCACGCACCATTTTTTTCAGGTTGGATTTCATACGATTTATGTTTGTCATAGAAATAGCAGTCACATCAGCAGCAAAAATAACAATTTAGCTACTGGATTTATTAGGAAAATACTCACATAATTTGACAAAAACATTCATGATGACAATCTTAAAGGAACTGCATAGTAGTTTACCAAACTTATGAGGTTCTCAAAAAAAAAAAAAAAACAAAAAAAAAAAACAAAGTACATATCAAAGATGAAGCAGACGCCACAATTGCTTTCTTCTCCTTTCAGTCAATGAAAGAATGAATGCCAGAGTGGGGTGAGGTCAAAGTTGCTGGAATTTCTAGTTTCACCAATAAATGCCAAAAAAGAGATGACTTCTTATTGATCATCAAACGACTGACAAGATATTAGAAAATTTTTAAATGAAAGGCTGGATGCAAAATAATTTATCGTTTAACACTTTTTTTCATTCTGTTTGCTAAAAAATATACAAATATCATAGCCTAATTTTTACAATGTGACATTTGGAACTGGTAAAACTATATTCTATGCTGGATGCATACATTTTATTTTATATCCAGTTCTACTAATCAAAGTTGAGGAATCTTAGGCTGACTGGTAGTATAGACATGTCGAGGTGTGTAGACCTTTCGAGACTGATTGGGACTGTTCAGGAAGATCTTGCGGAAAGCATATAAGCAATCATTGCCTGCTCAATTCAGTCAGTCAATTTCTAATCTATGTCTAGTGAAATTAAATTCAATGATCCATATAAATAAATAGTGATATAAATTGGTTCATACAGTACAGTTAGTGTTATATTACTCCTTGTATATTACCTTTGATAAATAGTTCTGTGACTTTTTGCTCTTGCAATTTTGATGATGTACCAATTTTTGAACAGTAATAAATGTAATAATGCAGATAAAGAAAGTATGTTTTCAACCAGTGGCATTACTGTGAAGAAAGGAAATATCGTAAATATCATGATGTTTGTTTAGGGTTTGGTTTTACATCAACAAAAATGAATGATGAAGAGAGACTATAATGTGTACTGTGTATGAAAATTTTCGAAGTAGAATGTGTGCTTCCAAGTTAATTGCAGCGCCATTTAAAAGCTAATCATCATAGCAAAGTTTGCAAACCTTTGATTTTTTCTCTCAGGATGATAAAAAAAGTGAAATGCACACACAAAAAAAATTAAGACTGCATCAACATCAAACAACACTCTGCTAGCATCTTTCAAGGTAAAGAAGCCTTATACCATCACATTACTCTAGCAGCTGCTGTAGATATGGTGAATAACATGGTTAGTGATTCTGATGGGAAGCTGGTTTTAAAAATGCCTTTGTCCAATAACACATTTTTTTAGAGAATACAACACATGGCTGAGGATACCAACAATCAATTAATTAAAAAAATCTGATGTGTACACCACATGACTTCCATGTAGGGAATATTAAATCATACGCATTTTTCTTGCATTTCATTTAAACTTATTGGATTGAATTAAATCTACTTCGTTGACAGCGCATAAACCACAAAAGAATAAATGCACTCTTTAAAATTCACTACCTTTGTTTACCATAGCAACACTTTGGTACTAGGTTCACTTAACAATATTACATTTCACTCATTTTGTAACTCAGAATACAGAAAATTTATATCATCTGAAGAATTACCTAATCGTTGCCACATGTTCTATTCAAATACTATAATAAATCTAAAATAATGTATAAAAGAAATTAAACAAAAAAAAAAAAAGGAGAGAGAGAGAAAAACAGTTTTTCACAGACGATTCAGTATTTCTCATTCAATTAATACATCAAGCCGTTTAAGTTGCGTCGTTTTTTGTGCTAATACTTTCTCTTTAATTCTATAAACAGACATAATTTCTTGTTTAGTTACAAAGTTCCACTGTTCAAGTCCTATAATTGCTGTGTCAAGAATACTGACTAACTTGTCAATCAAAATTTTTTTGTTTTCAATAACCTATCTGTCACTTTCTTCACTATTGGAAGCGTTACACTGAAACATGCTTTCAGTTTGTAGATCCTTTGGCAGCTCCAGAATTGGAAACTCTTTTTGACATAATCGAAAGTTCAAGCTTAATTTTTATAAAATTGCTCCAACAGTCTGCAAAAAATAATACGGCAGATCCAATTAGAAGATTAAGGAACAGCGCAATCTGCAACATTAACTAAAATGCCTTAGAATCAGTAAAGATAATTTTAGCCTAGCTGATACCATCCGTTATACATTAAACGCGCATGTGTAAACGCATTACGCGCATGCGTAAAGCATTAATTAAAAAAAGTTTGTCGCTTTGAGATCCGGATTATAGATTATTTCGGATAATGGACGTCCGGATTACGGACTTTGTACTGTATATAACTCAAATGTAAACCTTATTACAGTGAAATTCAACATAATTCGTTCAAGTTTAAAAATTCAAAATGGAATTTTTACAAATATCTGCCATGGTTTTTATTTCAAAGAGTTTAATGAGTAGAAAGTTGTTTCTTAAATAATTATGCCAGATTTCCTTTTTATAAAAAATACCTGTCAGAGGATAAATATTGCCTAGTTTTAAAAACAAGGCCATTGAAAAATCATTAAATCAGTTTTAGAAAATATTTTTCATGATAAAATGCTACTTTAACCCTTTCCGAAACACAGATATGGACCCCCTTTCTATGTTAATGAGCTGCGAAGAAACAAAGATACAGCTGCCTCTCAGTGACCCAGACTCGCAGTGAGCCCATTCTGGGAACACTTTGGTTCACCGTTTGATTTTAGGCAAGATTTCGAGGTAAAAATTTAAAACTAATATAGAATAAGGAGATTAGCATACAGCCAAAAAAATAACATAGAAATTTCCTTTCAAACAATTCCTTTTATACCCTAAAAAAATCTGGAAGATTTCTTTGAAAAACGAGGGTCTTAAAAAACTAAACATGGCTTAAAATATTTGGACTGGTTTGTGTTGAGCTGCCATCTACTATAAATAAAGAAGGTTCAGAGTAACTTATAGTAACCTTCAAATCCTTTTTCATTCAATTTTTCTGTGCAGAAGGAATTTTTTTTTTTTTTTTTTTTTTTTAGAAGGAAAATTTAGTTTTGGGCATACTTAGGAAATTTCTAGAAGAGTACAATTATGAAATCTAAATCTGATACCAAGTCTTAAAGACTTATTTATTGTGCAGTAAATAATTTAGCAATTTTAAGCTTTTAACAGACATTCACGAATGATAACGTTTTTTTTTTTTTTTTTTTTTTTCCTTCATGTGTGTGTGTGTGTGTGTGTGTGTCTTCTCATACTGATTGAAAAGCATAAAAATTTGTTGATGCATGAACAAAAATTTCAAAAAAATAAGTATTCAAACCATAAAAAGTTACTTACATAACGTTTTCCTGAAGATACATATTTTTTTGTTAAATAAAGGTAAACCATATAAAAAAGTCATTACAAGCAATCAGATGTTCCTATGCCAAGTTTTTGATAATACAAAAGACTTTGTGATTCAGTTTAAAATCTAACAAAACCATGATATTGTTAAAAATTTAGATACCTTAAAAGAAGTCACACCTATATTTTCAGAAGAAAGTCCAGTTCATTTAAACATAAGCCTTGCTTATAATCATACTACTTTTAGCAATTTTAGGTGAACAAATATTAACTGCCCGCACGCTGATAATACACGGTATATACATGATTTTGAAACATTTTATTTTGATATTTTTTTCAATTATTTACCTTCCAAAATGACTTTCTTCTCTGAGAAGCCACTGAATCCAGTCAGTTGCCCTTTTCTCCTGATCACTTGTAGTAAGAAGTGAAGGACAAGCAAGCAACATACACAGTCCAAGGGAAACAAATCTGATACCAGCAGGACTTGGAGGTGGATGAGAAGTAAGCAGTTGGAGTAATAAATTAATTTCCTCTTCATTAAATCTAATGTTTGAATAAAATAAATCAAATTTTATAATTTTATGACATCCAACATTAAGCTTTATTAACATACTGATCTTATACTTTCAATTAATTTATTCTGAATAGCAGCAAATAGTCTATTTTAACAAAACTGTTACTTGACTAAAGATCACCACTCCCTCCTCTGAAAATCAGACATTTTGCATGATCAGGGAATAAAAATTTAATGCTACATTAACAAACTTATGCACTTTTCAAGAATCCATCAGAATTCTATGCAAATTCTGCATAGTAAATTTATCAAGTTACTATGCAAAGCCTGCATAGTAAATTTATGAAATCAAAAAATTAATAACATATTATTTTTATGCTCTTTTACTTCAAGTAATTTCTTTCTTTCAAAAATATGATTCTGACAGAAAAAGAACAGAAATTGAAGAATTTGATTTCCAGCATTTGACAACACACTGTTATTTTAGTACCCCTGCTCTAAATTCTGCACCTAAACGAGCTCCCCCTCCCCCCAAAAAAGTGCTCATTAGAAAAATTGAAAATGATAAATTTTTATGCTTAAAGTACAAACTTCACAAGGAAAGATTCCATATGATAATAAATTATAACAAATATGCCTCACAATCAATGAAACATTGTCATTACTGACAACCAATTACTCCTTGTGATACACACAAAGAATTAATTAGCAAAACATTAATCTTCTGAGTGCAAGAATAACAAAAGTAATACAAGAGATATTCTTATTACTTACAAAGATGCTGATGATAGATTTAAAAAAATAAAATTCAATTCAACGGCAATATTGCAAAATAATTCTAAAATGAGCATATCTTTAGAATTTCCGATACACAGTCTCGCACGCTGGAGATAAAAATGTTTTTTTTTCCATACAGCGTTGCCATTGCTCGCTTTGAAATCGCTGAATTTCTTAATCAAAAACTCATAAATGCTTTACAAAATATGAAATAGATAATAAAATAAATTCCAAATTTGGGTTTCCAGATGCTCATATTCAGAGGAGGATTACGTTATTCAAAATTTAATGGCTCTAGGTACCGTTGTTTTATCACAATGCAAGAAAACATTTATGCAGATTCTTCATTATTTAATTTCTTTAAATATAACAAGGGCAACAATATTTGGAGGCAACAATGTGAAAAGTGAATCAACGCAAAATGCCAAAATGAAATTATTAGCCCTTCTGAACCAATGCTCCTTTGAGCTAAAAAAGAGAGATAAGACTGATTTGCTTCCCCTGCAAAAGAAATAGCACAAATGCTAGACTTACTTGTGTTGCAAATGAATATATGAAAGAAGTAAAATGTCAGGATCAAGGACTTAATTAAAGTAATGTGTACCTTTTCTACCAAATTTATAGTAATATGACTTTCATGTAGATTTTGCATAATCCAAAAGCTTTGAAACAAGAAAAACTAATTCTTATTAAATTAATTACAATGAAAATATGTTCATGAAATTCAAGAAAATGATTTTTGAGGTGAAGCAGTAAAGATCCCATTTAATCATGCCTGTTCTTTGAACTGAAAATACTTCTTGTTTTAACCCATAAAAATAAAACAAACAGTAAAACACAATGTTTATTCTCAGCATAAAATATAATCATTACATTCAATATGATAAAATTCCAAACTAAGGGGTTGAAGAATTCCTCACCTTTTTTAATCAATAAAATTCTATCAACATATTTTAGAAATACTTCATACAGATTATTACCTTATATAGATTGCTATGATCTGTTTACAGCAAAACTGCTGTGTAAGATAATACATTTTTTTAATGAAATTTATTTGACAAATATTTTTATTCAGTGATCACATGATTAGATTAAATTTTTAAAATATTAAGGTAATGAAGATTAAGATTACCTAAATATTAAAAATGTTTTGTTTTAACCCGCCGAGTGACATGCCCCAGGAGTTTCCAATCTAAGGAAAATTCAGTCAGCCTTTAATTTAGCTGTTAAGTATTTGGTTTTAGTTTATGAATATAAAAAGTTATTTTATTCAAGTTTTGGCATTTTTCAATATTCTTCTAACTTTTGGTGGTTTAATTTTAGAAAATAACCTAAATTAAACTAAATGTATATGTATTTTTCGAGTTTGGGGAGAGGGGATGAACTAAACTGCTGGCCATTAAAACTGCAACACCATGAAGCAAAGCAAACACAAAAAATATATTTATTGTACATAAACAACATGGAATAAAGACAAAATGATTAAATTTGTAAGCAGTTTGGGAATTTACAGGAGTTCGAAATTCATAGAAACAGCTATCACTCCTTATCTAGATCAGCTAGAACGATCCTTATCTGGTTAGGCATACCATCGAACAGGGTTTGGACAACAGAAACGGGCAACTCATTCCATGTTGCTTCAAGTCCATGCCACACTTCAACTGTATTATTTAAAGAGAGGTAGCAAACCACTCTTTCAGCTACTCATGACCATATGTTTTCAATGGGTGACATATCTGGAGATCGTGCAGGCCAGGGCAGCAATCGAATACCCTCTGTAAAAGGAAGGTCAGAACATGGCATGCAACATGTGGTCTTGAACTATTTTGTTGGAAGATAGGGCACAACCACTCGGCATAAGATGTCAGAAATGTACCAATCTGTGTTCAAATGACCATCAATCCGAACTAGAAATGTGCATGTCGTATACCCAATGGCTGCCCAAACCCCCACCAACAGGTGCAGGGCCCCTATGCCAATATCGAATACAAGCAGGCAACATGTAGTCTCCTCGGAGCCTACAGACACATATACAGCCATCAGAATACTGCCACAGAACTAGGACTCATATGAAAAGAAGACAGTATGCCACTCCTGTATCCAGCTTTGTCGTTCGGCGCATGAGAGTCACCAACTCTCTCTGTGCTGCATGGTCAAGGGAAGCCAAAGTAATGGTCGCCATGTTGATAGTCTACGCTGCTGCAAACGTCAATGCACCATACGAGTGGATACTGGGCATGCTGCAAACAAGCACATTTCCTGACTAATGGTCCATAATGTGGTTGTACGGTTTTTCAGGGTTGACCTCATAACATGTCCGTCCTCTCGGGCGTTAGTCATGTGAGGGAGTTGAGATCCTGCATACGATTCAGTAGGACCCTCAGCAACCCACTAATTTCATATTCGCATAACAATGGTTGAAGCCGAAAAGAGCGATAATCCACACTCTCAATAGGCAACGATCCTGCCTCTATCGATTTCCGACAGTTGCTGGTAAGCCTCTCTTATTACTATTTGAGACGTAACACGATATTCTGAGCAAACTTCAATCTTACAAAGCTCTTTTCGAATGAGAAATCCACTACACAACTTTTCTTTTATGCAGTGCTTAAGATGTTGTTTCTCTCTCCTGCATCATTTAAATGCGCTGAAATACTAATCATTTGCATATCCAAACCTCTTTCTTTCCATGTCATTTTGGCATTCATAAGGTCATTCTTTCCTGGTGTTGCAATTTTAATGGAGCACAGTGTAGCAGTGGTGAAAGGGGTACATGCAGCAAAAAAGGTTGAGAACAATTGCTTTAGCCGGTCAAGAGATATGTTGTCACTAACTATAAATTACACTATAATTTAAAATATACTGCTTTCTTACTTTCTTTAATATTGTAAATATCACCTTGATGAATGAGTGTTTATGAAAACAGAGACTAAAACAAGTAATTATAAAAATTTAGCTAACAGCTGTTTAAATACATCGTTTTGAGGAGCATATCCAAAAAGTCATGCCAGAGATTAAAACAGTAATGAAATGAAAGACAACCATGATTCATACCTTTCCTTTTTTTTCAATTTCATCATGGTTAGTAACATTTGCTCATGTAATAGAAAGCTTTTATTAAATTTTGATCCTTGTTCTGGACTTTCATACTGTACTATATACAACAATACATATATAGCAGCTTTTCTCAACCATAATCTGATTGGTTATTATAGCATTTGCAAGCATTCATTTATAGCATTTACAAGAAACTGAGATAAATACACTAATTAAATGCAATGATAATGTAAAAATTTCTCAGAATGAATATTGTTTTGACAGGAGAAAAGATTGAAAAATGCAGGTGTAGGCATAACAGCATGGGCACATTTACTTGCTTCACAGAAACATTAAAAAAATAAACTGCATAATCAAAATTTAATATCTTTCATCAGCATGTGCTGATGTGTGAACTTGATAGCAGTTTCTATCAAGTTCTTTCAAGCACCAGAAAGGGAAAAGTTAAGAGAACACCAGATGGAAGAGATTGATGATTTTGTTTATTATAGCATTCCCACATCAGATATTTAAATTTGCCATTAGTCTTTACCCGCATCCGTGATTATCCTTAAGTCACACGTGCCCCCTGGGTGGTGCTAAATGGGTAACTGTCACAAAGTCCTGTGGCATACTGGGGTTTAGTGGGATGAGGTTCGGTCTGATGATGAGTAATTTATGACGACCAAACGGACCGCTCTTCCCTGGGAAACCGGGATTGTGGGGAGGATTTGAAATTCCGAGGACCTTTGATCTGGAGAGGAGGAGTCTTGGAGAAGCAGCCATTGTAGAGGATACAGGAGAAAAGCTGAGTTTTGGTCTCAGGCCGCCAGATAGTACCAGGAGCCCGGGTTCTTCCTAAACCAGGAAAGATACATATGAGAAACCAACTTTAGAATGATCACGCTAACATCCTTCCAGCTTAAGCGTTGGAGCGATTGATTTTCTGGCACTCCAGTCAGATAATAATCTGAAACATACCTTTGGCTTAGACCAACACGCTTTAGGCCTGGCTTCTCCACTGAGTCGGCCTTACACCAACTCGTGTGGAGAATACAAAAAAACAATTATAGACGGACACTTTGCCATTGGGATTCTACTGGATATTGTAGGAGCCTTTGATAACATCGGTTTCGAGAAAAACATAAGGTCCTACTGGAAGTCATATTCACCCTATGATACTAATGGGTCATCTTCATGATTAAAAACAGGAAAT